CATTGCTAACAATCAACATATACCGAACCGAAAACCGTGACCACGAAACCGTGAACCGAACCGAACCGTGGATTTTGTGAACCGTTCCACCCCTACAGTATTATATTTCATAATTCATTCAAATTGTTTTAGTTTGCTCTGTTTAACCTATTTAAATGATTTCCTCCAAATAAGTTGTTACATTCTTGCATTACATGCATTAGCCACTGGAGGGTAGTAGATACTTAATATTGACATATTTTCTCTCTTAGACAGCTTGAAGCAGCAGTGTTAAGATATTATTCTGGTATTTTCTTATAACGTCATTACCTTTTCAGTTGACTTCTATATGATCACTAAGAAGGATATAATGATTATTACCTATTGCTATTCAGTTGCTGTGGTGCTTTTTACATTTCGTAATGCTTATTTGTGGTTATATTATTAGATATTTGCTAAACTTATCATACATGTCAAGGTTTTCTGCTTGTCTTCCAGTAGCTCCTCCAAATGGAAATGCAAAACCAAATGGCAATGCAAGCAACAGGTCTTGTAAACTTTTTTTCTTTAAATAAAATCTCATAGTTTTTTTATAATCACATTTTTTACTAAATCCTTAAAATCTTTTTTTTTTTTCTTCTCCACTTTCAGGTCAAGCAGGGACACGTCTCCATCCAGTGACTCTGATGACTGGGTAATTGTACCCAACGGTCTCACCGTCACTGGTAGAAGTTCTCCCTCTCCGTCTCCAGGGGGCTCCACCTCCTCACGTCCTCCCAGGCCTGCCAGACCTCCTCCTTCTATGCCGCAAAAACCTGCTGCCTCACCAAGTAGGGAAGCATTAAGACTTTCATTAAACAGTTGCTAAAAATAAAGTAAATGACAGACATTCTAAGACTTCCTGTGTCTGATGTCTATCAGCTCAGCAGAGATCTGCGAAGATATTTAATACGTCACACATTTCTTCTCTGCTAATTACCACCCTCGTCTCCAGGCTCTTCCAGTAGTTCGTCTCCCAGTGAACTGAGTGAAGCCCCACCGTCTGACGGCTCCTCTCAGGCATCTGCAAGCGGGTGTTCAGACCAGCCAGATGACTCCGCTGCACGAGCAGCATCGGCTGTTTCCCCACAAACGAGTGTTCCCAAACCAGTGGGTGCTGTAACAGCGGCTCCAGCTACAACGGCTCCCAGAATCAACCCCATTAACAATGCCCCTCTGCCACCAGGGTAAAAAAACATGACCAGTTATGTTGGTGCATCACCAGTTCTGGTTTTAATTAATTGAGCTAAAAGTATTTTGGGTTAAAATATTTTTTAACAGAGCTGATGTAAAGTAACTTTTAAAAAAAATGAATTTAAACATTGAGAGTCATTTAACATCCCTTATGTCACTGCAAATTTTCATGTGCTATTTTAATAGCTTGTGTTTTTGAGAGTTTGTTTAATATTACCTATATTTTACTGTAGGTGGGAGCAGAGAGTGGATCAGAATGGACGGGTGTATTATGTCGACCACATTGAGAAAAGAACTACTTGGGAAAGACCTGAGCCTCTGCCTACAGGGTATCAAAAACACTTCTATGATTAAAACTGATGGAGCTGATTTCCTTTTAATTGCTTTATTTAAATCAACTTTTATCTTTTATGTTTATACCCGACTGGGAATGTTTTTCATCTGTTCTTCTCTTTTTTTTTTTTCTTTTGCAGCTGGGAGCGTAGAGTTGACCCAATGGGTAGAGTTTACTATGTTGACCACATAACAAGAACCACAACATGGCAACGGCCCACTCAGGAGTCGGTGCGGAACTATGAGGAGTGGCAGAACCAGCGCAGCCAGCTTCAGGGAGCAATGCACCAGTTTAACCAGAGGTTTATTTATGGGGTGAGAACAGTCACTTGAATTACTTTAACCTTAAATCATGGATTGTTTAGTTTGAGTCGAGGCTCTGTTAAATATTTGAGTGCATTTCATGCAATGTTTGGCCAGTTTGGTGCTCTTGCTTTTACAAAGAAGATAGGATGACTTGGATTTATGGTTTAAAAACCTCTTTATTTATTTACTGATTGATTTATTCTAGTTTAGGAAAACTGGTCTGTTTCTTTATCAGCAGGTCATGAAACGTTTCTAAGTATTTCAGCAGTCTGAGCTACAGAGAGACAATTGAAAGGCCTTTGAATGTGTTTTGGGGGCAATTATCTGATGAGGCTATGGCACCAGGTGTTTCCAATATAGAGACTTTTCACAATTTTCTAATATTCTGTGATACTTAATTTGGGATTTTTATTAGTTATCAATTATAATGATTAAAATTAAAAGAAATAAACACTTCAAATATACCCATCTCTGTTTAATGCATAATTATAATATACAAGTTTCACTTTCTACAAGCGTGTAAAGAAAATGGATGGATGGATGGATGGATGGAAGTTTCACTTTCTAATGGAATTGTTGAAATAAAATAACATCTTCGTGATATTCTAATTCTGCACACAGCACATTTATATCAGTTGTTTATTTTCACACATTGAACTATGGCTATTTTTTTATTATATACTATAATAAATGTAAAAACAAAACAAAAAAAAGAATAAAAAGATTAATACCTATAGAGGAAAGATAAGAATTTTGGTAAGATCACTTTACATACGTTTTGGTTTTTATTTTGTTTTATAAAGAGAGACTATTAATGGCTTTTCTTTTTTCTTTCTGGCCCAGCTGCAGGACCAATTTGCAGCCACATCTAAAGAGTTTGACCCACTGGGACCACTGCCTCACGGCTGGGGTAAATACATGTTCATAAGAATTCCCTTTTAAGTTTCAAACACAATGATTTGTTGTAGGAATGTACAAATTTAATGTAAATGGAGTGCACAGAGGTAGGTCGACACATGTAAAGATTTATAAATGTGTTTTATTTCAGAGAAGAGGACAGATACCAATGGCAGAGTGTATTTTGTTCATCATCCAACTCGGACAACGCAGTGGGAGGACCCAAGGACGCAGGGGTGAGTGTATTTCATCTTGTGTCTGTTCATAAGTGTCACTGTTATTGGTAACTCAGCTGCAGATCCTTGTACAGCAATAACACCAGGTTGTTGAGTTTACCTGCAAAAAATTGTCCTCAACTTCCTAAAGGGAAACAGGGAACAAGTACGTCACAGCTTTCTGCCAGGACTGATGATTTATAGATGCATTTTGTAAAAGGTATAGATTATCATTGATTAAAATAATCCTTCTTTGAGCTACTTTAAAGCTTGAAATTATGTTGTGTTTAAAATATTTCTGAGATTACAGTATTTTGGTCATATATAAATAAAAAGGTGCCGTTACAATCTGGTTCTATCGCCCTAATCTGTAGTTTCCTCTAAGAACCTGGGTCGCTCGAAGACATTAATATTAACAAGATTGATTAGATTGTTAATCCAATATGTGAATGAATGATTTTCTGATTATTTATGTTCTGTTCTTTGTTTATTTACATATTATGCTTAGACTTCTGAATGATAAACCCTTACCTGAAGGTTGGGAGATGAGGTTCACTGTGGATGGCACCCCCTACTTTGTAGACCACAACCGGAGGACCACAACCTACATTGACCCCCGCACAGGGAAATCTTCCCTGTAAGTGGTTCTTCATAATGTTTAATGGTGTCGGTAAATAGGGAGATCAGCCTGCAGATAATCCGTTCTTGTTTTCTCATTTTTACAGCGAGAACGGCCCACAGATCACTTATGTTCGGGACTTCAAAGCCAAAGTGCAATACTTCAGGTTCTGGTGTCAGGTTTGTGCTTTATTTATCACACCACAGTTTAATTCATTTGTTGTGTTTTTTTTCATGTTTTACCTTCATTATTTTAAGTACTTTTGTATGTTTTGTGTTTATTCTTTTAGCAATTATCGATGCCTCAGCATACCAAGATTACCGTCTCCAGGAAAACCTTGTTTGAGGATTCCTTTCAGCAGGTAAGGTCTTGCCTTTTTGCCTGGTTTCGAAGTGTTATTCTGGTCTTTTCTTGCAGGTTGGTGAGTTATGTAACTGGTTTCATTTCTAACTTTCAAAGATAATGAGTTTTCACCCGCAAGATCTGAGGCGGAGACTGTGGATTATTTTCCCTGGAGAGGAAGGCTTGGACTACGGAGGCGTAGCCAGGTAATCCCTCTGAAATTTTTGCTGCATGAGTAGCTGGGTGTGCAAACACCTCCCTGGCAGATTTGATTTTTATTTTTTTTAGGGAACACCCAAGGTTTAAAAAAAATCATTGACCATGATGTAATAAAAGCTTTGGACGTTTAGTTGATACTGTGATCATTAACAATTTAATCACATCATTACATCACTTATGGTGCCTTACATGTTTTGTCCATTTATATTTTCAGAGAATGGTTCTTCCTGCTCTCCCATGAAGTTCTAAATCCCATGTACTGTTTGTTTGAGTACGCTGGAAAGGACAACTACTGTCTTCAGATCAACCCTGCTTCTTATATCAACCCGGATCATCTTAAATATTTTAAGTTCATAGGCCGCTTCATTGCCATGGTACTTTTTGCTCTTGATTTGGAAATTAATTCTTGATATAATACATTTTGATTTACATGGATTTTTTTCTTTTTGTTTCCTTCATTATTTTCCCCTTAGGCTTTGTTCCATGGAAAGTTCATTGATACGGGTTTCTCGCTGCCTTTCTACAAGCGGATTTTGAACAAACCTCTGGCTCTTAAAGACCTGGAATCCATAGATCCAGAATTCTACAATTCACTTATTTGGATCAAGTAGGTAGCGCGTTTGCAAAACACACGAGAGGCACGATTAACACTATAATCCAGGTTAATTTAACTCACTTCATTAAAGCATTAATGTTACAGTTGGTTTAAAGAAGTCAGATTTTTTCTTTATGATCAGCTGCTTATTTTTCCATGAGAAATGAAGGCTTGGTTTAGCGTTCTGCTACCTTTCTTATCCAAAGAGCCATTTTGCCTTCAGTGTCACTAAATAAAAGTCGTTCAGAGCTGCAAAATATTTCATGCCTTTTAAATAAAATACATGCTGTTCTTTTGTTAAATAGCTGCTATATCAGTTGCCATCTTAAACAAGCAACTGCTTTTTTGTATTTATTAGCTTTTAAAATTTGGAAAAAAAAAGATTCATAAAGATTAAATATGGATATTTATTCTAATTTACACCATTTGATGTAAAAAAAAAAAAACATGATACCAAAACAATTAATTTCCAAGGTAATTAGATGGAAAAATAGTTCTGAAATCATATTTCTGGTTCTTTTAATGTCATTGTTTTGTGAAAATTGTATTTAGATATTTGTTATAAGTAACATTAAATCCTCTAAGATGGGTATTTGTTATTATAGTATATTAGTTAGTTCTTTATATCATTTTTATCCTCTATTAAGATCCATTATAGAGGCTCCAAAGTGTCAAATATGGCTCTAGACCTGCAAAAAAAACATGGTTACATTATTCAGGGTTTTTATATATCCCCCACATTGTTAATGTTGTTTTCTTCTGGGTATTAAACAAAGTCTCACAAACAAATGGCTGCACCATGGGGCAGTTGGTAGAGCTGTTGCCTTGCAACAAGAAGGGGGATTCTCTTCATGTGGTTTGAGCATTTTTACGGAGCAGGAATAGATTCCATCAGATATTCCTGCAGCAGCCTAAATATGACTGTTAGGTTAACTGCTCTCTCTGAACTCTCCTGAAGTTTGTGTGTCTGCATGGTCCACCATCTCTTGTCCTGGGTGATTTCTGCTTTTCACTCAATGCCAGCTATACTGGAGGCTTTGAAACAGAATTGGCAATAAAATATTTTTCTGTCATGCAGGGACAATAATATAGAGGAGTGCGGTCTGGAAATGTTCTTCTCTGTTGATAAGGAGATCCTGGGAGAGGTCAGCACTCATGAGCTGAAACCAGATGGAGGAAACATTCCAGTAACTGAGGAAAACAAAGAGGAATACATCAGGTGCAGCTGCGTTCTCTTCTGCTTCTTATGTAATAATGATCTTTTAATGAATTTTATCCTTCAGAGTATAACGTCTATGTCTCTGTTGCTGCAGGTTGGTGGCAGAGTGGAGGCTATCCAGAGGGGTGGAGGAGCAGACCCAGGCGTTCTTTGAGGGCTTCAATGAAGTTCTTCCTCAGCAGTACCTGCAGTACTTTGATGCAAAGGAGTTGGAAGTATAAAAAATATTTGGAATTTTTTATAACTATGTTTGAAAAGCAAGAAGTTTTAAATGTGATGATAATCTCTCCAGAGTGGAAAATATATTTTCTGCATTTAATGCAATAACAATAAAACGTATTGAAAAAAAAGGTTTAGATTTTGAGCTAAATATTTCCTGTTGTTAAATCTCGTTCTGCACATTGTCAGTCTCACAAATATGAGCAGTAGAAAAGGATTACCTGTAGCATAGACGCTGTTATAGTGTATTCTGTCATGTGGTAAACTTTTCTAACATGTAGTTCTCTCTGGCTTTAGGTAATGCTCTGTGGGATGCAGGAAATCGACCTGGTTGACTGGCAGAGAAACACCATTTATAGACATTATGCTCGAAGCAGCAAGCAGATTCTTTGGTTCTGGCAGGTTTGTTCCGAATATTTTTCATATAATGAATTAAACCTTCTAAGCTCTTCAGTGAATCAAAGCTTCATTCTTGTATTGGTGCAGTTTGGGAATAATTCCTTATTTGGTGCAACTCTTTTTAATGATAATATGAAATCCTTCTATGAACAACGGAAAAAAAAAGTTTTATGGAAAATAATAAATATGTCAAAAATAAAAATTTGGAGATTTCCTTCCTGAGACACGTTCAGAAAGTGGGAGACGAGCCGAAATTTTTTATTGACTTTTGCCCATTCAGAATGAAATATTCCCATAAAGTTTTTATTTAAACACCATTGAAGCTAATGCTAGCTGTGTGCTGCTGGAGTTTTACTAAAGCTCTGCAAAATAATGTCTATTTATTTTCTTTTAATAAGCAATAAAATATGAATTTCATTTTTTTTATAATACATATTAGATATAGATATATTTTCGGGTATTGCAAACTAATAAAAACATAACTGTGTTTGCAGTTTGTGAAGGAGATGGACAATGAGAAACGAATGAGACTCCTGCAGTTTGTAACGGGAACCTGCCGCCTTCCTGTAGGAGGCTTTGCTGATTTGATGGGTATGAAAAACAAACACTGACGTGAAAATCAGCCATTCTTTGCATCATCATGAGTTCCTCCTAATTCAATTTTCCTCTGCCTCATGAAAATAGGAAGCAATGGTCCACAGAAGTTTTGCATTGAGAAAGTAGGAAAAGAAAACTGGCTTCCGAGAAGCCACACATGGTAAGAATGTTTTCCTGCTAAATTTATAACCATTTCTCCATCAGCTTTTTTTGTTTTTTTCTTTGATTGTACCAAAAAGCTTGTTCTCCTGTTTTGATGGATTTTGGCTCTTTCAAAAAAGAGTGAAAGCCCTAAAAGGAGATGGAAACACATTTGCTTGCCTCACATAACTGAGCAGCAGTATCTGCCAAGCCTACGGTGCCTGTGGCTCTTACTGCATGTTTTAGATTTGCAATTTCTTTCTTTACTCTGCAGACAGGATGTAACACCACCAACTATTTGATGTGGCAGAACTATTACAACATATTAGCAAGACATACCTGAAAAGCTCTCTTCATTTTTCTCAGATGTGCTGTCCATTCTAGTTTGTAACCACTACTTCCAGTTTCTTACAACTATGCATAACATTGCCTCTTGGCTAAATGAAGCTTTGCACAGCCTGGTTAACTCACTTTAAATCAGTAGATCGAAACATTTCCTTCTTTTTTGTGACATTTTACAACTTTCCGAAAGAAAAAAAAAACCAGCAATTTTGCATAAGTTTTTTATTTTTTTATTTTTTTAAACATGATCATTTTAGCATTTGTTTTATTTAAGGCTGGAAAATGTTCAGCTAATACTTTATTTCTTAACACAAGAAATTTCTTTCTGTTTCTCTGTTTAGCTTCAACCGTCTGGACCTCCCTCCTTATAAAAGCTATGAGCAGCTGAAGGAGAAACTCATGTTCGCCATCGAGGAGACTGAAGGCTTTGGGCAGGAGTAAAACATCAAAAACTCCTGATTTTTATCATGGCAACCTGCGCATGGAACAGATTGAAAGAAGCACTTTCAGCAGTTTCTCTCTGCAGTCCAGAAATGCTTTCTCCCTGGTAGAATCTGTCCTAATAGCATGTAAACAAAAGAATAGAAAGTTGTTTAATCATAGGTTCATTTTTTTAACAATGGACCTGTAAATCTTCCACACCCTTATCCAGCTAATGTCTCAAAGCCCACATTAAGGCGGTGGAGACAAAACGAGACGCCTTTCTCACTCTGTCATGCCTGCACCCACTGTATGGCTGAGAAAGGGCAGTTTCTACACTTAGGGCACTGATTCTGTGTAGTCATTTCTTCAGAACCACTTTGTTGGGCCTATGCGCAAGCATAATGTATGAGGAAGAAAACTTGTGTAATATAAGAGTCAAAATATGAAGATTAATACCTAAAAGATAAAAAAGGCCCCTTGTGGTTTGAGGTCGTTGAGATTTTGATGTACAAATGAAAGGATGAATATTTTTCTAAGAGGTCACTGACATGAATCCTGTAGCACATATACAGTTTTTTATTAACTTTGCTAGATGTGATGACTTTCATTGCATAATACGTTCTCTTGTTTTGACAGGTTATCTGCTTAACATCTGACTGAGTTAATAAGTTGAACTAGTTTGCACATGGTTTTTGTGAGCTGTGAGATTATGATTGCTATTAGAAGAAGCTATTTTTTAAGTGCAATAGTTTTGTAGGAAACATCATTTTGCAAATGTTAGAGTCAGAAAAGTATTTGATTAGTTTTTCTAAGGTTTAGTTTTTACCTTGTAGTTAAAACTCAGTACATTATATAGAACAGTCCCATGCTTTGGCTTTCCTATTGCTGTGGTTTGCCTTTCGCTAGTGAGTGATGCTACTGTTAATTCTGCAGCTTAGATCATTAATGTTTACCTAATTTTTCAGGGAGAAGGATACTGTGAAGGTTATGATAACAAAGCCGAGGACCCGTTCTTGGCTGGTTTTCAGGAACCCAAATCACTGCGATGAAACAAAAGTGAGTCAGTTGGGTTCTGCTGAGCTTTGGTCTCAAGCAAAGAAAAATTAAGGTTTAAAATTCGAAAGGTTTTATTGATTCACTTTTGCAGCTTATGTACAAACTAGACATTTAAATGCACTTTACATAAAGACATGCATGCTTTTTTATATCCCTGGGATTAAATCAGACTAAACTTCATGTTGTTGAAATGTTGGGATTACTAAAAACTATTTTAAAAAACACCAGAATATTTACATTTTTTGAAATATGTTTTTTTTTTTTTTTTACAATTATTTCCTTTTAGAGATTTCCATAAAAACGTTATGTATCTTGCAGCATTTGTGTTCAAACAGTGACACTGATCACTGATTTTATTTATTTTGTAATCAGATACATTATGCAAGCGTTTTTGGACTTGGGTCCATTTCTCCAGACGTATCAGGTTGAACTGGTCAGTTATGTAGTCCATCTTGATCACACACACCCCCTTTTTTTTTTTTTTTTTTTTTTTTTTTTTTAGCTCTGCCCAGAATTCATTTTATAGGATTAGATGAGAGCTTTTGTGATCCATTCCAAAACATTGACTCATATATGCTCTTATGTAACTTGGCACTATTCTCGGTTTCATTGTGGATTTAGATGACCCAAGCTTTAACTTGTCTTATAAAATTGTTAAATATTTCCACACAGGCCTGTCCTCGCGATATCATCCCAATTTAATGTAGTGCACCATTCCCTCCTGCAGCAGAAAACACACACCACAGGATGCTGCTTCCTGTATTTTACAGAGTGGATGATATTCCTAGACTTGTATCATTTCCACTGTGGCGATTATGATAGTCACACATTTCCTTCTAGTTTCCTCACATCACAGGATATCCAGAAGTAAAAGAATTTAGCGATGGGTGCATTTTTGAACTAATTATTTATTTTTCTGTTGCTGTTGAGGTTATGATTTTTTCCTTGTGGAGCCATTATCCCATGTTAGCACAAAACAGTTTTCTCTATGTGTATTCACACCTCCCTACCAGCTTAAGTCAGCACCTTTAAAAAATGTTTTGCTTTTGTTTTGAGGTTGATGCAAATGTCCTGATCGGTGTCACTGCTGGATGTTCCCACGCTGTTTATAGTGGACATTATTTAACAGAAGAACAAGTAGCCTCTGAAATTGTTCCCATAGATGGACCAGATTTCTGCAGATCCACTGATCTGATATTTCAGCCATTTTCTTTAGATTTTTTTGTTAATCTCTCATATGTAATTTAGGTTTGCTTTAAATAAAATCACTGGTTTTCCTTTGTTTTAACTTAAATATTTGATTAAACCTATTAGATTCTTACAAAGTCTCCTTAATTATCTGGGCTGTTTTAAGTTTTTTTAAAGACAATTTGAAATAAACAACTTGACAAAATTTTATCCCAATATATAGACTTCCGAAAGTTAAATACTATGATATAAATTTCTTTAAAATATCTTTCTTGCCATGCTTGAATTTATTAAATATTAATTGAGATAATCCTAATATAAACATTTTACTAAAACTGGAGGCTGTTAGTCTGATTTTATGCCAGACTCTAAAGGTTGCATGTCTTTTAATACTGTGTATTTAAATACTCGATCAATAAAGCAGAATTTCCCAAGGAGTGACACAGAACCCTAGTTTTATAGGGAGGGGGGCGACTCACTTAGGTTTGTATATTGTAATTAGGAACTTAAAATCAAACCAGGCTGTATAGAAAGGTGTTTAGTAAAATTGTGAACCTTTTCATGTCAGTGGTGTTCTCTACATTTCATAAAGGCCTAGAACATTTAGAGCCATTTAGCTTAAGTCCTCCATGATTATTGTTACCTCTTCTAAAGGTGTCCAAAAGCCTTATAACAATCTGCTATTGCAGTAACATTATCAAACTGCAAAATTTTGTATTTGTGTTGAGGGGAAATTATATAAAATAAAACAAAAGATTGATGGTGCCACAAATGATGTCTGTCCCAACAGTTGCAGTTGAATAAATTTGAGCAAAGCATTTTTAATGTGTACTTTGTTAGGATGACCCTATTGTTTAGGAAATGGGATTGATCAATTCCTGTTTGGAACGTAACTATGTGGTGCTCTTGAAGACCATGTCACTGCGGCGATCTTTGAATGAAAGAGGGAAAGGTAGGAGACCACGCTCAGATCTAGTCACCTAAAAAAGAAATATTTAAAATAAAATCTGTCTGCAACTGCAGCAAGTTTTGCATTGAGGGATTATACTACTGCAATAAAAGATTCATTGGTGTAAGGCCTGTTTCAGGGGTACCAGTAGTCATGCAAGATGCGTTTTAAATAGTCGTAATCCTACTTTAAGCTTTTAAAATGGGAAAGTTTGCTGACTGGTCAGAATACAGAGCTATTTTATCGTTTTCAACCTCCTCTTATGCTGTTTGAGGAAGCTCTCATTTAAGACCTCTTTTTTTGTGTTTATCACAACAACTGGATTTTTTTAAATCTTTTTTTTTTTTTTTTTTTTTGCAATTTTATTTGCCATTTAAACATTTTGGTGCAAAGGTTTTATACACCCTTTATTTTAAATAAAATTAAGCCTAAAACAGTTTCACACAATCCAAGCATTTTATAAACGATGTAATTACTGGTAACTCTAAGCTTTAAATTGTGATTGTGCTGCAAATTAAGGACTATAACTGGAAAGGATGTTACGTTTGACTAAAGAATTAAAACAAAAATGATCTGCTGGTTCCCTTTAAAGTTACTTTTTATTTCCTTTTGTGTTTTTGCTACACTTCTACATTGACTTTATCCAAAGATTTTTTTTCCCCCCTTCTTTACAATTAAATGCTTTCTTTGTCCTTTACTGTATCCGGTCCTTATTACCATTAGTCTTTTTTCTGTCTGTGTTTGTCTGTAAACCAGCCCAAGCATAACAAAGACTGTATCTGTTGTTCCGACTACTGCAGAGGATTAATGTAATATGTAAACTTTACCCTACATGTGACCAGATTATAGCTAATACTGGCACAATGACACACAAAGCTGGTTGAATTCACTACTTGTTTCTCTAATCACCACTTTGTTCCATATCATGGGACAAACAAGTCTGTAGAAATATGCAAAAGTGTATTTTAGTTGTACTGACTGCAATGTTGTAAGTTGGTGTCAATTGTGTAGTCACAGTTTATTTTTAACTTTTTGATAAGTGAAAGTCAGTAGGTAAATTCTATTTATTAAAAATATGAGCTTCATGTGTTGAAGTGATTGATAAAAACAAGTTATAGTAAAATGATTAAAAAGCTGGATGTGTGCTTATTACCACCTACGCTGCCACAAATATTTTTTCTTAAAATATTCTCTTGCATAAATACAGAGAAAAGTTTGGTTTCATTTTGTGGAAAAATGTTCTTGTTTCTGTTTTATACCAGGTACTTAAATTTCTCTCTTTCAAGATTTGACATTAAAAATACAAAGTTTTATTCTTAAAACGTTTTAAAATAAATCCTGTGCAAGTAGCCTCAGTTGCCTGATGTTGAAAATCCAACCGACAGACACATTTTCTTAAATCAGAGAAGTTTATGTTTGCAACCAAACTCATAATCAACTAAAAACATTTTCAGTTTATTATTTCTGGTAAGAACCGTAGATTTAAGTTTAGTTTCTTTAATAAGTCACAAGAACAATATACAGTAAGGTTTAAAAAAGTCCATGCACTCTTTAAGGGCTCCTTTAGTATAAACAAAATTTCAAATAAGTCTTTTAGTCAGAGGAGGAATGGCGTGCTTTAAATCTTCTTGATATATATATATATATATATGTATATTTTTTTTTTTTGACAACTGTTTAGTTTTTCAAGCAAATGGAGAGCAGATATTAGTTTTACTGTAAGGATAAAGGTTGCTTAGGTAATGATGGATGTTAGTTTGCTTTATTCTGTTTTTTTTTTTTATTTCACTATAATAATAAAAAAGGCTACACCAATAGTTCATGACGCAGAGTGCTATAAGAAAATATGTTGATAGTTCCAGAACAAGTGATTCTTAATCTTTAATGAGATATATTTTATAAGATATCCAATTCTCTCAAACTTCTTCTAAAAGATTTATCATGACTAAATAGTTTGTATTTATATTATGACTTAATCTGAAATGAAATGTAAAAGTTGTTAATTTATTTGAGTTAATTAAACTGCAGATATTTAGAGAGGCATCGTTCAGGAACCTGTGGTGTTTGTTCAGTATATCTGCGGTCGAATTTCGGTGTGACACACAAGTTGCATTCTTTAATTGTGTCCCCTCGGATCGATTGAAAGTCATGGCTGATCATGACCTGATAAGAACTGTCCTGTACACCATCAATAATCTTTTACAACAAGAGAAATATAAGGCAGCCTTGGCAGTGGTGAAAGGATTCAGGAACGGTGCTGTGTGAGTAATAACAAGCAGCTAGCTAGCTTAGCTGCTTTACTTTTACTCCTTTAATATTTCCCCTAGATCTATCATCAGATATCGTCCTGCTGAAGTTTCACCTTTTGTTAATTTTAACCAGTGTAGAGTCATGTATAACTAGCAAGTGTATGCTAATGTTATTTTACTTTTAATCAGGTGTGTTTTAATTGATTTAAGTTATTTGTTTTAGATATGGAGCAAAGATCAGAGCACCACATGCCCTGGTAATGACATTTCTGTTTCGAAGTGGCAGGTGAGTAACTAATTTAGACCTTGAATTAACAACCTTTTGTGTCCATCTGATGAGGAAAAATAGATGTTTTATTGTTGGTGTTTTTTTCTAATACAGTTTGAAAGACAAACTTCGGGCCATTTTGAAAGCAACATACACCCACTCTAGGAACCTGGCCTGCTTTGTGTTCACATACAAAGGACTACAAGCCCTACAGCAGAAGATCCAAGGAAAGAGTTTACAGTCCCATTCCTTCCTCGCTGCCTGTGTTGGAGGATGGTTGGTGTTCGGAGACAACAACAATATCAACAGTCAGGTAGAGTAGGATGCTTCTCTAGGACAGAAGTGTCTGTTACCTCATTAGATTTTTCCCTGCAAGAAAAAAATAGCATCTGAAAAATGCTTGAAAGTTCATTAAACTTTTCTACTGAGTTTGTCCTTCTGGGTTAATAAAGCCTATGTATGCTTATTTAGTTTATTTATACTTATTCATTTACTAATTTATGTTTACATATGTGAAACAATAACTACTATAGTTGCAATTTTAGACTAAATGATGAAGACATTTAAATGACTACTTAATTAGTTAAAAATACACTATGTGCAGAATTATTAGGCAAATGAGTGTTTCGACCACATCATCCTTTCCATACATGTTTTCCTACTCCAAGCTGTATAGGCTTGAAAGCCAACTACCAATTAAGTAAATCAGGTGGTGTGCATCTCTGTAATGAGAAGGCATATGGCCTAATGACATCAACACCCTATACAAGGTGTGCTTAATTATTAGGCAACTTCCTTTCCTTTGGTAAAATGGGTCAGAAAAGAGATTTGACAGACTCTTTAAAGTCAAAAATTGTCAGATGGGTGCAGCACTTTGGAAATTGCCAGGCTTTTGAAGTGGGATCATTGCACAATCAAGCGGTACATGGAAAATGGCCAACAGGGACGCAAGAAGCGTGTTGGAAAAAGAAGACACAAGATGACCTATGAATTGAGAAGGATCAAGCGTGAAGCTGCCAGGAAGCCATTAGGCACCAGTTGTGCAATATTTCAGGGCTGCAACATGTCTGGAGTGCCGAGAGGCACAAGGTGCTCAATACTCAGAGACCTGGCCAAGGTAAAGAAAGCTGAAAAAATGCCACCTTTGAACAAGACAAAATGTCAAGATTGGGCCAAGAAATATCTGAAGACTGATTTCTCCAAGGTGTTTTGGTGTGATGAAATGAGAGTGAGTCATGATGGGCCAGATGGATGGGCACGAGGCTGGATCAGTAAAGGGCAGCAAGTTCCTTCTCAACTCAGACGCCAGCAAGGTGGAGGTGGGGTACTGGTATGGGCTGGTATCATCAAAGATGAGCTTGTGGGACCTTTTTGGGTTGATGATGGAGTCAAGATCAACTCCCAGACCTACTGCCAGTTTCTGGAAGACAGACAACTTCTTGAAACAGTGGTACAAGAGGAAGTCTCCATCATTCAAGAAAAACATGATATTCGTGCAGGACAATGCTCCGTCACAAGCATCAAAATGCACCACAACGTGGCTGGCAGAAAAAGTCTAAAAGGAGAAAAAATAATGACATGGCCCCCTAGATCACCTGATCTGAACCCCATTGAGAACCTGTGGTTCTTCATGAAATGTGAGATCTGCAGGGAGGGAAAACAGTCCACCTCTCTGAACAGTGTCTGGGAGGCTGTGGCGGCTGCTGCACGCAATGTGGATCACAAACAGATCAAGACACTGAAAGAATCTAGGGATGAAGAATTTTTAAGGCTTTTGAGCATCATGGTGAAGAAAGGTGGCTTTATTGGTGACTGATTTATTTATTTTTTTTAAATGTTGCAAGTGTTCTGAATTTTGAGTTGTTATATTGGTTTACCAGGTGAAAATAAACAAGTGAGATGGGTATATATTTGTTTTTTATTACGTTGTCAATTAATTCTGCACAGTAATATTTACCTGCACACACAGACATCCTCATAAAATGGCCAAATCTGAAAAAAAAACACAACTTCCAAAAAATAGGAAACTTTGATATTAAGGAATCTTTTGGGTTGATTGAGAACACAATTGTTGCCCAATATTTAAAAATAATAAAAAATACAACTTGCTTAATAATTATGCACACAGTGTATCAATCATAAGTTCAATTAAAAACAACAAAACAAGTTATTAATTCCCTTGACAGTCCTCATAAAGCTTTGAAATCTAACCTACCTGCTTGCTATAACTGGTATTCAACAGGGATATTTCCTTAGCCCAATGTAATACAACCAGTTCAATGATTTTGCTGCTAAATATTTATTCAAACCGCAGTTAATGGCTCCATATTGGATGGAAATGAGTCCTACAATGAAGAGATGGGAGCCTTTTTATGTTGATCCTGCAAAAACTGGCTGTACAATGTCAACATGTTGTGTTCCAAAGAAGGCTGTTGGGTGAAAAGCAGGTCCTGTCTACCTTAGACAATTTATGGAGAGTCAATGGCTTCACAATTTTAAAGATCAGCATCAGTGACGGTCTAAGCTCTAAACATCTCATACATGTGATCACAAAAAACAATGGCTGTCATTCTGCAACTTCTGAGGAGATTCATCATGGACTCATTCATCATGGAATCCTCACTAACTTCTAATCAGAACTAATTCCAGCACGCTGGATGTTAAACCTAGTACGGAAGCATTTGTTCCTTGCATCATAGACAAGTTTGCAGATGATAAATGGCTTATCACCGTGTGTTGCTAGGAAAACATGCTGTCATACACTTCTCCTGAAACAGCTTCAACAATAAATCACGTAGAATCACTGAGTAAATTGCTACCATTAGTCAAGCAGCATTTGAACGCATATTGGCAGACTGAAGCATCTGTTCCCATCAGCAATTGGTAATTTGTCAAGATACTAAACTGCTAAAGTATTCATATGAAAGGTTAGATTTACCTAAGACTGAATGTTTACATTCAAAGTTATATCATTACTTTACCCCATGACTTCAGCTACATTAAGTTAGCTATTTCCTTTTATACTTTTATTTATTTTTATCAATTTTTCCAAGTTAAAATGCTCTTTCACAATCTTTATCTATTTGTTCACCTATTAGTTTAGCGTATTTTGTAAGAGCGGTTTATAATCTTTTATTGCCTATTGTACATAATAAATTTCAATAGAATCACCTTAAATTTTGGGTTTGTTTGTGGTAGATTTACTAGTTAAAGTCGTGGTTTAACTTTTAACTTAATTCACCCACTCCTTTCTTCATGCTGGTTACTCCATACGATTCTAGCAGCTGATCGATTTCCTGGGTTTAACAGTTTCTCTTTTGTCTCCTGATCCCTTCAGATCAACATGTACCTGCTGTCCAGGATCCTCTTCGCCTTGTCTCGACTAGCTGTCGAAAAAGGGTTCATCCCTGCACCCAAAAAAGACCCTTTCCCACTTTTCGCCACACTGGTGTGGGGTATTGTGTTGTGGTTGTTTGAGTATTATCCACACACCCTCCAACCTTCCCTTCAGTCCTCCATGAATTATCTTTATCATGACAGCAACGTGTGGCACGACATTTCAGACTTCCTTGTTTATAATAAACCAAGGACTGCTGGTTCTCAGAAATGAAGCTCTCAGATTTTGATCTTTCTGATTAAATAATTGTATAATTGTTTTATAATTAACATTTTCTTTATTTTTTTTTTTGCATTTTAAAATTGTATCTTGATATGAACCTGTAACATGACATGTAATTAAAATGTTTTAATTTATTTAGCTATGATTATGAAATTTGATCATATTTGCAAAGCACTACTTTGACTTAAAATGCACAATGCCTTGTATTATTTTGGTTTTTTGAGATTTGTCTGTGTGCCGAATTCTTTTTTAATTTTTTAAAACTACCCGGTATTAGAGGGATCATTTTAAAATGTCTTATTTGCTTGAAAGTGTGGGAAAGAAAATGTTTGAATTGATGATTTGGGGCTAAAATGCAAACACCCAGCATTCCGTGAAGTATGTTGTAATTTAAAGTTCAACAGCTTGGTTAAATCAAACTAAAAAAATGACAGAAATAAATCACAAAAACATTAAGAAAAAACATCAAGAAATAAAAGTTTTTAAAAACTATGTGATTGTGTAAAAATTGATTTAATTAGAAAACACACAGAGAGCATACTAGAATGAATACATTTGTAGTGAAAAGGAAAGTAATAACTGAAATGATCCTTCCATTAATTTTCACACATAAAGCATTTATGAATACCACTAATAAAAAGGCTTTGAATTTCTTCATACTGTTTTCTGTACATTTTGTCAGCTTTATAAAGTGACAACTAGATGATTTTTTTTTTGTTTGTTTCTTTTTTTTTTTTTTTACAATTCCCATAATCCTGAGAGATTCCCTCCCATTTAACCAAGAAATGAATTGTTCTGAGATTCAGCCATCACAATGAGAAAAGATGGTGGTGCATGTAATGCTGTGGACCTTCTCTGCATGTGCTTGGATTTCTTAGGACAGTTCTGGCCCACTGAAAAACTTGTTAACACTAATGCTTCTTGGAAAACAACACAGGTCCATCAGTACATGCACCACTTTAAAAATAGTTTTTATGCATGAATTCCATTAGGGAGGAGAACAAGCCAAACTGACTGTGGGAATCATGGTGCAATTCATTTATGTTTCATGTAGGACTTATTATGCATCGTTATTTTATACATTGTAATTCAATAAATAGTTTATGTAAGCATTTGCATATTTTTATTTTTTTTATTTATTTTTTTATATTTTTTTTATGAAAATAGTGCAATTTTTGATTTGTGCAAAAAAAAAAAAAATGTGTTTGTGAATTCAGTTTGAATCACCATTACCCACGTTACATCCATCTGGTTATTATTAGACATAAACAGTTCTTCATTACGGAATGTTCCCACACACGTTGAACATGTAGGCCCATTCTTTAGTGAAGGGACACAAAAAAATGGGTGTGCATTAACAACTGTTGAGTTGGTTTATGTCAAGTGCCTGAAGGTGTGTCATGATCAGCAAGGAGGGACGATTAAAAACCTGTTTTGTGTTCATCCCGAAAAGCCAGAATAATTGCTTTCTGCAACCTCACACTACAGACGATAAAATGTATACAGCTTGAAGGAAGCCAATTATGTAAGAGAGAAAAAAACAACCTTAAACAGAGAGGGTAGTCTCAGGCTCCAGCTCTCGAAAACCTAGAATGCAGAAATAGATTTGGTTCCTTCCCACTATCATCTCATCCTCCATCGCTATGCAGGGAACCAAAACATCTCGCCTGGTCAGCCAGGCCAACAATGACCCTAAGGACTCCCTTTTTTAAGAAGGATAGGCCAGTGTCGGGTATAGCAGGCCAACAGCAACCTCAACGACTCCCCATTACATAGAGTTGAATCTGTTTTTCGGTTCAATTTGCATGTTTTCTAAGCCATAACAAGGCTTTGTTGGGCTACTCCATAAAACCTGGAACTCAGGTGTTCCAGACATTTTGAGTTGAGAAAACTTTCTAGATGGGAAGGGAAACGTCTTCAAACTATCCAGTTTTTTAAGTATAACTGATAAAACAATCTGTAGAGTCCTGTATTTCAAAATGTTTACTTTAGTTTTTTGTGGTTTTTATCCAATAAGCCTTCTTTTCACCTTTAAAAAAACAAGCACGTACAGCTGAACTAAAAAAAAAAAAAGAAAAAAACAATGGCACCAGGCTGTCATGTCTAGCAGAAGTTTACTCCTATATCTGGACTCCTAGATATAGGTATCGTTTTTGATTTAGCTTTTACAATAATTTTTTTAGCTCCTAATTTAAGGGACTGTCTTCAAATTAAATCAATCAGTGGTTTCATGACAATGATATATATGATTGGATGGTATATTTAAACGATTTGATAGATCTGATCAGATAGAATTGAATGTTAAAATAAATACTAAATGTTTATGTAAAGGTTATTATAGTGAAATAAAGATGTAACAGCATCACTTTGAGCTACATTGGATGTCAGGGCTGTTTTTATATATCATTACACACCTGGTTAATAGAGTTTTTAGAAACATTTTTATAGACAATCTTATATTTGGGTCGTGAGTCAATTCTAAAACCATTTTATGGGTAGATAGCTGAAAAATGAAAACAGTTTTGGAATAACCTCTCAGTTAAACTATATGATTCTTCCTTCTATGATCTGAGGTTGTCGTCTCACACATGGCAGGACTAGAAGTGACTTATCTTTCCAGACTTATTCTCTACATGGATGGAACGTACTGCCCCCATTTCTATTGAGTTTGGACTCTGCTGATACTTTTGAAAAGCAGCTGAAGACATTATTTCACTAATTCTTAGGTTTGATGAGGGCTATTATGATTTGCATTTATGCTAATGTAGTTTTTCTGTGACACAAACTATTGTGTATTTTGTTAGTTTACCCTTCATTAAGCACTGTGTGAAATATTATGAAATGGCTATGAAACAATGTATTTCTGGACTAAAGTTAATTATTGCTTGACCTTAATTTTCTCAACTTTCTAACAAACACTTGCAGGTGTTTTTTAATTTTATTATTATTATTATTTTTTTTTTTTACAATTGACGAGAATTAGGAAATGTCATTATTTTACTAAATAGAAACACAATAATATTTATATTTAGTGGCTCTTGCCAAACTTACCATCAGAAACGATGACACAAAATTTCCAGTTTGGTTGTGTGTCATGCCATAACACTTTTTTTTAACACTAAACACTAAAAAAGTTTTAGGAGGAAAAGGCTTATTTCATCATATAGAACCTCATCAGTGCCTTTTGGTAAATTACTGCACCTCCCATAGTGTTATTTTTTTTGCCATATTACAGCCCCACTGATCCATTATGTCTTGTTTTCCATGGGTTAAAAAATAAATAAAAAAATTCTCCCACATTTCTTTTTAATTAATGGTGTTGTATCACTGATAAAATTATTTCTAAACTGTCTTTTGGAGCAGTGAAAGCGCCTAGTCAGTCTTGAATGTCAGCAGTTGAACAAGGAAGCATTTCCAAGTAAGCAGAGGAATTTGTAACTACCTGTCTCCCAATCATATTGCTGTCGTAATCACTTGCTGTTTTGCGTGCCAATATTAATGTGACTTACGTCAGTGGAGCAGCCAACGCCAGGATTGTAGTTTTTTTTTTTTTTTTTAAGTGATAAGGTATAAGATATAATCAATAATTTTTTTTTTATATGTATCAGTTCTAAGAGTCATGCTAGAAGTTAGAGGTAAAATTAAAAACAAATCGAAAAACATATGGTTCTTAACTGCCATCAAGTGAGGTTTTTTTGAAAATCAAAAAGGAAAATTCAATTACATATTGAGTGCACTGGCCTCTGCTGCAGACAATTATCAGGATAAGCTGAAAATCAGATATCAAGGAAACACCGAATAGTTAATAGTTTCTGTGGTAACCACAATTCCCACGAAGAAGCACCAGTTTCCATCCTTATGAAGAAATTTACATCCAATGTGGCCGTTACTTGTAAAGATTACTCTCATCTTTTATGGTGATATACAGAAATCAGATTGGCATGACTTTGTTTCAGCGCTCGTTGCCCAAATATTCATCCCATCTCACAGAATGTGCGTGCTTATCATTACCAATAGCTTAATCCATCTGGTGAATCCAACTTGTAAAGCAGGTTATTTTGTTTATTTTTTGCAGAGGGTAGGCCTCAGCGTCAGCTAATGATTATCTTTCATTAAACTCCCACTCATGTATTGAATAATGTCCTCGCATACCCTTTTTTCCACTCAGAAGAAGGTGTTGATGGAGCTATTCAAAGAAGAACAATGCTGGGTGTGCTTCGGTGGCGCAGTGGTTATCAAACATAAACCATGTACAGAGGCCTTAGTCCTCGACACGGTGGACCCAGGTTCGAACCTGACCTGTGGTCCTTTGCCGCATGTCTGTCATACCCCCACTGTGTCAGCATACTGTCAAAAAAATGAGCCACTAGTGCTGTAAAAACTAAAAAAAAGAAGAACAATGCTAATCATGCATGGAAGACTTTGTATATACTCTTGGATTGCAATGGCCATCTAAAAATAACCAGGCAGGTATGTTAGCTACATGCACTCATCAGTGGCATTAAGGTTATTGTGTTAAAAGTTTAAAACCATAACTGAGAACTAATTAGAATGTTCTCATATCACGACAAAGTTAAAATCATACGGTTCCAAATGCATCTGTACAACCTGATCATGTAAGGATAAATGAATGTGTTGGTCAGAATGAAGCATCCGCACCACAAGTGTCATCATCTAGGATGAAGACATCCTCTTAGCTAATCCCTCTGCCTCCCAGACTGATTAGACAAATCTCTTCTGGAGAAAACTAATCTTGTCAGAAAAAGTTGTCATTGTGGTTTTTGGCTTGAATGAACATACCCCGAGTTTACAGAAAGAGACCTTTAGCAATCAGATTGTTGTACCAACTTTGGAGCTAAGGGATGCTAATGTAATAAAGTAATGTAGAACCAAATCAGAATTCTGGGAGTCCTTGGGTTAAGGGTCTGTGTCACCTTATTGGCTGGGGAGGTCTATTCATTGCAAAACTTCTCAACTTGAGATCAAAAATCAGTAGTAAATGATAAGGATAGTAATGGTAATAATTTCTCTAGAATTGTCCTTAAAGTCACTGATCCTAGTCGGTCTCCCTTCTCTGCCCCCTTGTTAAACATGCCAACCAAATTTATCAGGATTCTTACTCAGAGGTGTTTTATTCACTGTACTTACGCAGCTATTTTGCACACAAATATTTCTACTTTCTACCCTTTACTTTCTCACAACTGGCTTTTTACCTTTAGAGATATTCTAAATAAATTCTTCTTTATTCATGAAGCACTTTTACATTTCCCAAGTACCAAAGTGCTGCACAGTGAACAACAGCAAACCAATACAACAACTCAGATTAATTCAATTCAATTCAGTTTATTTACATAGCTCCAATTCACAACACGTCATCTCATGGCACTTCCCAATTCAACCAGATCATACAGTCAAATTGATTCAAAGTTTTCAATCTAAGGCATTCAATTAAATAAAAAAAAATAAAAGCATTAAATACATATAACCAAATTAAAATAAGAACCCCAAATGTCTGTAATAAAAACTGTTTAACATGACAGGCTAAGATCAACATCTCATGTAGTTATGTGTAAGTTGAAAGCTAAGGCAAGAGCTAAGGCTTTCAAATCAGAAAGAGGTAGACTCTTTAATACATAAAGGAAGGTTGTTCCACATTTTAGAGCTGCCATAGAAAAGGCTCAATCCCTCCTTCTTCCTTTTAATTTTAGGCCCATCAAGAAGCAGCTGATCTATTAATTTTATATATATAAAGTCTGATCTGTTTATATTAATAACTATATGATGTAACAGCTGCAGTATAACAGGAAAAACCAAGAGCACAAAGAGAATCTTTCCAGTTGGAGCCCAGTTTAGAGTAAAACATTGATAATGACATGGATGAAGACACGGTGCTGGAAAACTTTGCAGATGGTGAATCAGATTCTGAAACATTCCTCATCCAATCCCATCCTGTCCCCCTGTATTAGATTTTACATGTTGATTATGTTTCAAGTTTTATTCAGTTCTAATGCTATTTGCAACTTTATTGCTATGAATACCGGAGCTCTAAAATAGTTCAGCTAATTAACCAGGATTTCTGTGCATAAACTGTTTTTATTTCAAGAGTATAGTTTTTAAAAATTATTTTGCATAATTTTAGGCAAAAACTTCATTTTACTTAAGGACATTATGGAACCTGTACTTTTTCATTTTTGCTTAAAATTAATGGCTTCTGTACTTTTTTTTTCTTTTACCAGAGTCCAGTTTAACATGGATATTTGTACTTGTACTTAAATAGAGAATATGAGTCAATCAGACCCTGTTGGTACTAATACAGCTGATGATTGTGAGAACATGAGAACCAAATCAGTATAATTATTAGTGAAGCAAATGTTTCGATAGACAGCATGGTAGGACAATGTGTAAAATATTTTCATTGTAGTGAGAAGTCTCTTGGTTTGGATATTACAGCATGAAGTTTGCCTGTTTTTCCTGTTTCTAGGTGGGGTCTCTCCAAGAATTCCAGTTTCCTCCCACAGTCCTATAAACGAGACTGTTAGGTTAATCTGTTAGTTAGGAAGGAAGGAAGGAAGGAAGGAAGGAAGGAAGGAAGGAAGGAAGGAAGGAAGGAAGGAATCCACCACAAATGGATTAAATAAATATTAAGTAAATATTAAAGTAAATATTAGAATCTCAATATGATTTAAATACTGATAGTCCTAAGTCTACAAACTAGTTTAAAGTCAAGTTTATTTTTATTGTTTTGAGATCTTGACTTATGCACAACCTTAGCATGCCAAAGTGTTTCCAGTATGAAACTATAAAAGATTTTATAGGTTTAAAGTTATCTTTTTCTTGGAGCTTTGTAATAATTCAAAGCGTATCAATAGTTTTCAATATACATTCTTGGAAAGTGTACTCTTTTGAAAATAAGTGTACAAACAAGTGTGTAATTAAGTGTACCTGAGACACTTAAAAAAAAGGAAAAGGTTTCCTGATTCTCTGAAAACATCAAAACTCCTTTTGCCTTGGGCCTCGTGTTTAATCTGCTTCTGAGATCCTCTGCACCAGTTCACACAGACCAAACACAGTGTTCTTTTTTCAGATGGGTGAGTCTACTGAGTCATTAAATTTGCGTACCTTGCTAAATGAAACTGTACAAATGTCACAAAACCAGCAGAGGTGGGGTGTGTCGTGTTGTGGCTTGTTTGGTGAGGCATGACCTGAGAGCCTTGGTAACAATCGAGGACAACCAGTTCATTTTTTTAATGTTAATCTAACGTGACTCTCTAAGGGAGGAGCTAAGGTGTATATAAAGGAGGAAAGCACCAACAGAAGCACATTGCATTATTTTCCCACAGAGAAAAAACCAACACATGGAAGGTAAGCTTTGCCTCAAAAGAAGCTTTTGCACACGTTTTTCTTACATTTCTCTTCTAATAATTAACATATGTCATGCTGCTGTTAACTGAATTTTGTTTTCGTTATTGCAGACTTGAGCATCAAGTATGTCAACCTGGAACTTGCAGAAAATCTGCAGAGACACAGAACAAATGGCTTCAGCAACACCGAAGCATTGGTGGTGCGAAGAGGGGCTCCCTTTCAAATTACCGTCCAGCTCAAAGGTCGTCCCTTTGACCCCAGGACAGATTCTGTGAGGATTAAAGTCACCTTAGGTACTACCACACCTCCTTTATGGGTTGTGAAAGCTTGTTACCAATCAGCCAAGTTGAGCCAACATTTAGAATATATCTCTCTGATTGTTTCCTCCTTTTTTCTCATATTCCTCAGGTCGGCTGTATGCAGTGATGCCAGTGACTTTCTCAGGAAGGAACCCTTCTTCCCGCTGGAATGCTTACATTGACCCAAACAACCTAGACTTCCAGAGACTCTCCATCTTCGTCTCCTCTCCTGCTTCTGCCTCAGTGGGACGTTACAAATTTCAACTGTATGTGTCCTCACAAGATGGCCAGAGGAGTGCCGTGGTGGGCGATTTCACCATGCTTTGCAACCCTTGGTGTTCTGGTGAGTTGAACTCAAAGAGGATTCATGTGAATTTTGAATTGATGTGCTGTTTTTGGAAAATATTCAATGTTTTTCTCTGTTACTGAAGTTGCAGAATACCATAATCAGATAAACCATATCTTTAAGATAGATATGGTTTATCTGATTAAACAAGTCTTATATTATGTTTTTCAATCAGTTGTTGGAAATTTGGGAATGCTTTAATTCTTCACAGGAGTAGAGGGCCACTCCTAGTGGAGAAGTGTTCAAATAAAAATACATTCACTTTTTAAAATGCATAGTGCTAGTATATTTAAGAGCAGACATGCTAAGCCTTGGTAAACCTGTTAGAGGCTTAAAATTTCTAAACACACATTTAAATAATTGTTTTAATTAAGGAGATAACATTTTTTGTTAAATGTCAAATAGATATTAAGTAATCCAAGAGTCCACATAATCCAAAGATCAAGTAATCAAGTGAAGTAATCCTTATAAATGGTGACACAATATGCACTTTAGCAAAATACACTCATCAGACAATGCAAAAAAATAAACTAACGTTTGAGGCCAAATTTACTTTTTGTTGTTACATACAAGTAATTTCTACATATAGTCTTTGACTTTTAGAAATATTTTGTAAAATTACACTTGATAGTTATGCATTGGTTAATTATCTATTTAAAGTACAGCTCAGTGCTAATAGATGGAACTAAAAGAGACCACAGTACCATTTAAACTACATTTTAAGCCACTTTAACATGATGTTATTTTCTAATGAAAGCTTTTCTTTTTCTCAGATGATGCAGTGTATATTCCTTTTGAGGATCAGAGGGAGGAATATGTCCTGAGTGACTCTGGATTGCTGTTCATGGGAACCCCACTGAACCTTATCGCAAGACCCTGGTCCTTTGATCTGGTATGAAAGTTATTTCCAGAACATTTTTATTCAAGATTTAGGGAGAAGTCAACTGCAACTTGATTTAATTTTGCTTTATTCAAATGTAATACATTCTGTAACATAAATTCATTAAATCAAGGTAACCTACAGAAATTTAGTAAGTTTACTAAAACATGCTTTTTCTTCTTGTCTATACAGTATGAGCCTGGTGTTCTGGAGGCTTGTCTGGATTTGCTCAAAGTGAGCCCTCAGCATATAAAAAACAAAAGGAAGGATTACATGAACAGAGCCAATCCCGTTTACATCAGCCGCGTCGTCTCTGCCATGGTGAGACGTCAGACACAGCATGACATACAGTACAAAATGTGAACAACTCATGGAAGGGTTCCTCTTCACAGCATGAGTGAACTCATTAGCATATTAACACCAGGTTGTCCTGAACACTGTGTTTCAGAACCTGCCAACATAATCTCTCACTGCTTGGCACGGTTACAATTAAAAACAATGTAAAGGCAGTGTAGTGTAATTACAGTTTTCTCATAGAGTGGTCATCAAACTGCCACTGCCAATCCAGTTCCTGCAGAACATACAGCATGTCGTTTTAAACTGATGTTTAGTAAATCATGAGGTTGGAAAATAATCAAAAACTTTCCTTGTGTATTAGATCAACTCTGAGGATGATCGAGGTGTACTGAAAGGCAACTGGACTGATGACTTCAAACAAGGTGTCAGCCCCTCAAGGTGGACAGGAAGTGGGGACATCTTGAGATTGTGGGCCAAGTCTGGTTACAGCCCTGTCAAATATGGACAGTGCTGGGTGTTTGCTGCCGTCATGTGCACAGGTATTCATAACCAACTGATCTTCAGATAAATTACCTTAAAGCTCTGCAGCTTAAGCCTAAACTTTCATGTTAAGAATTTTTGGCATTACTGTGAACATCTTGTGTTTTCATCACCTCGTTTAGTCATGAGAGTTCTCGGCATTCCTTGCCGCGTCATCACAAACTTCAACTCGGCTCACGACACCAATGGCAACCTGGTGATTGAAGAGTACTACAGCGAAACCGGACAGAAGTTAAACCGCAGTCAAGACAGCATATGGTTAGTATTGATCAATATCAGGATAAAGGTGTAATAAATGTGGCCTATCTTCTTAATTTATGAAATAACCTTCATAATGCTTGATCTTTTGATCAGGAACTTTCATGTGTGGGTGGAGTGCTGGATGAGACGCACAGATCTTGGGCAAGATATGGATGGGTGGCAAGTTCTTGACCCAACACCACAGCAGAGAAGTGGAGGTATGTGAGGAGTTCTGCCATTTATTCCTCTTTGCTCTTTCCTTAAGAGTTGTTATTTTTAAACGTTTATTTGAACTTTATTTTCTCTTATATTTCATCAAGGAGTGTTTTGCTGTGGACCTGCTCCAGTCAAAGGAATCAGGAATCAGCGTACAGACCTAATTTATGACATCCCATTTGTCTACTCCTCGGTGAACGCCGATGTGCACACAATCATCTTGTCAGGCCAAGATCATGTTGTTGGCTTCAGCAAAGACACAGAGAAAGTCGGATCGCTTATCTGCACTAAAGCCGTTGGCTACCCAAGAATGCAGAACATCACAGGGGACTACAAATACCTCAAAAGTACGATCCCCAAACAAAATATGAATGCATTTCCCCCAAAACTAATTTTATCAAGTGAAACGAAGCTCAATTCGACTATTCATTCAACTTTTTTTTTTTTTTTAACAGGTCCTACTTCAACCCTTTCATCGAGAAGCTCCACAATTTCGAATGACTCCACACTACGCAGAGGTATATTTCCAACCAATCTACCTCACTTAGGTTTGAGGTTAATTATCTGAGGACAATGTCATAATTTCCACTGGTTCCTTTTATCTTTCAGCCTCCACATCTAAGGGCGTGACAGTCTTCCTAACGCTGACTAAATCTCCTGTTGCTGGGGAGCCAATCGTCTTCCTGGTGAAAGTAATGAACAAGCAGAAAAGACCCAAGATGATGAATATACATCTGAACGCTCAGGCAAAAGAGTACAACCACAGCCCCAGTGAAACCTTCTGGGAAAAACACGGTGCCATACAGCTAGCACCAATGGAAGGTAAATCTATGTTTCCTCTCTTTTGTGCCTTTAGATATTTTTTTTCTTTTTCCTATTACTAAAAATAAAACATTTATTTCATGTATTTAAATTCTACAGTCAAAGTTGCAATTATTTATTTATCGTTTTCTATTTTCAGTCAAAGTCATCCAAGAGCATATCCTTCCAGCACAGTATGAAGAGGTGGTAGGAGATGACCTGATCAACCTGGCAGTGGTCCTGGAGGACATAGCCACCAGAGAGCGGGTTCTTGCCTCAGAGGAGTTCAACATCTCCAGCCCAGAGCTCATTATCCAGGTATTCATAATGTGCAAAACAAACATTTTTGTCTTTATACGCCTCAATTTGCAAAATACGTTTTCTGACATATCTATTTATTTTTATTCAGGTTGCAGAGGAAAACTCTATGGTGTCAAACAAAGAGTTTGCTGCCACCGTGACTTTCACCAACCCGTTCTCTCACCCGGTCAGCGGCATACTGACTGTTGCTGGGGCTGGGCTGATTGCTGGCACAAATCAGTTCAGGTAGGATTGCACTTTTGTTATTTTAATGTATTACTCATGTGGTTAATATGTAACATTGGTGGTTTGTGCAAGAAACAAAGGCTTACAATTCAAAGGGAATGTGGCATCAGTGGGAATGTCACTGAGCAGTTGTGTATTCGGAAGGAATGTAGGTGTGACTATTGTGTGAAACAAGTCACAAAGAACTCTCCCAAATATATGTGTACATAGAAAAAACATTAAATTGTGATAGATTAGATTAATTATACTTAGATTGATATTTTTGAAATTGTTGTACCTTATGTATTTTTTTTTTGTCTTTCTGTAGGATGCCCCCACTTCGTCCAGGAGGTAGAGCAAGCCAGACCATCACCTTAATCCCAAACATGGCAGGTGTAAAGATGCTGCAAGCCAGTCTGTCGCTTTTAGACACCAACATCACAATCAGAGGCTTCAAAATGATCTCTATTAACAGTATTTAGCTTCTGCAAAACATCTTGTTTTCTTTGCGTTATCCCAAGTGACTAATATGTGAATATAATTTTTTATTATTTATTTTTTGCTATTTATATATATATATATATATTTGATGAATGTAATAAAAATACGTGAAATATCCTGTAAGACTTGAAGGTTTGAAATGAGAGATTTTTTTTTCTGCTGTCCTTTATACAGAAAAATAAATGAATATAAAGTGTACCATGTTGTACTGTGTTTCTTCTCAATGCCACTCAGTTAAGAGTAACCAATCACAATCTAGTTTCATTTGTCAAGCACTTAAAAACAACCACAGCTGACCAATGTGCTGTACAGAAAATAAAATCTAAAACATAAAACAGTAAAGATGAAAACAAAACAGCTAAAACATGGGTAAAAAACACATTACACAATCAAATCAATAAATTTGTGTAAAAAGATAAAAGGAATATAGGGATAAAATACATAAAATACAGCCCACTGTGTGTTAAAAACCAAAGCGAAGAGATGGGCAAGAGATTTAAAAACAGTCAGTGCATTGATTTAAAACCAGATTGGAAAACATTAAGAATATTTTGGTCTTTTAAAAAGGCTATTAACTAATTGCAAAGTAACTTCTCCAGGATTTTGGAAATGAAAGGCAGTTTGGAAACTGGCTTGAAATTGGTGAGAATTGCAGGATCTAGGGGCTGTACAAGTGCATGTTTAAAATTTATAGGGACCACACCTGAGGACAGACTGCTGTTGATAAGTGCAAGAACAGGTTAGTAGGTTAACAGTAGGAAAGACCTATTTAAATAATCGAGGAGGGACAGCATAATTTGGAGAAAATGAGGGCATCAACCTACCAACAGTCTCCTGTAGACAGAACAGAGTCTCAGGCTGGAACTGGTCATAAACAGCTGAGCAGGAGACAGAGCAGCAGGGGAGATGAGAGCCCCAGCAGTTTGCAGTATGCAGATATGTGGAGTTGTGGTTAATTTTATGCCCTGAAGAGGGAGACATTTCCCTATGGAAAGTACAACTGACCATTAAGTACAGTTGTTTGGTTGGTAAATGAATGCTTATTTTTCTAATCCTTTCTAATTTCAAAATTTTAATAGAAAAAGGAATGCTCAAGGTTAGGTATTTGTAGCTTTCAGAAACCAATCTTTCAGCAGAATTACATCAGCCGTTTGCTTAGACCCATTTGGGTGGTTCCTAGCTTCCTCTCAAAGGTGTCATACATTATTCACTTCTCAAGAAAGTTCAAAACGTTAAAAAAGAATAAAAAGAAACTTAAAAAAATAAATAGTGTAAAAATGTACAACAATCACAGCTTAATTAGCCTATATCAAACTTCTGTAATTTATTTTAGGTATCTCATTTTTCAAAGATATCATGTGATTCACATTCCTGATTAGATATATGTGAAAGGGACATTTAAAAAAAGCAAAAAAGTTTTAGAAAAATATTTAAAACCAGTTTCTAATAAGATGTATTATAATTTTTTATTTAAGCAATCATCAGTTCAGAGTTATGGTGTATTTACACCTCATATACACCTTACATTAGCAGATTTTTCCAAAAAGAAAGAAAAATCTTGATTGTTTTTAAAGATATATTTTTTATTTTATTACTTAAAGACCTTTATTCATTAACCTAATTAATTTATGTCAAAATTAACAAGGAGTATGTTGAAACCAAAAACTCATATACAGGGTAAAGAAGGCGATTTTTGCCTCAGTATCTGACATTACATCAGACTATCACTCAAAATGTACTAAATACTGGATTTATAAGTGAGATTTTTTTATATGAAAGATTTTGCATTAAATCATGTTAGTCTCAGACAGAGACACAGTGTTCCTCTCCCTTAAGAACTTTATGATTGCATATAATGATGTTTATACTTACATATAATGGATTAGCTGTCTAAATGTGGCACAGCCAGACATCTGGAAAAATTTGACTTAATCAGGAGCAAGTCTAATTATGCCAACAAGTGTCCTATTCACCTATTAAAATTATAGTAACCTTACAAAGGAATAGTTACTTTATTCCATTAAACCTTCGAATAATAAAAAGAAAAATTAGTTGTAATATATAATAGTCATAATGTCTCAAAAATGAAAATATTTATCATCCCATTTGAGTGAAATGGGGAGAGATTTAGTCTTATTTAATTTTTTAAAAATGGGGGGAAAGGGTGAAACAGCTTTCCATACAGTTTTTGGAGATATCTGGTTACTAATGTATTTATTTTAAATGGCGTATATGCTTGGAAAATCAGAGAAATTGTTCATTAGTTAGTTTTAAGAAAAATTGAAATAAGATGCTCAGATTTGTGCATCTCTAGTTGTATAAATCTTTTAAAATACATGTTTGCATTGTCATTTATTCTTCTGTATTGCTTAAAGATTATTGTTTTTTTTAATATTATTGGAATTAGATCTTTGTGTAGAAAAAACTCCAAACTCTGCGTTCCCCAAAATGCAATTAATTTATTTTTCATTATTTCTACTGAAACATTCAAAACAAACAGACAATAAAGCATTATATACAAACCATGACTAAGCTTGCAGGTGTTGTAATCAGCACATGCATAACCATAGCCATAACAGTTTCTATACATTCCAAACACATTAAATGGAAAGGTAAAGTAAAACAAAAAAGTGTCAACATACAACCCAGAATCAAATACAAGTTTTTCAAGCACCGGTCTAAATACAGCCTCTGCATGGCAACTTCTTATCCAAACATTTTACAAGAACGTAGCTCTAGCCGTTAAGGATGATATATCAAACTGTCCTACTAACTCACTGCTGTAGAGTTAAACCCATAATAAATAACTTTAGTTTAGGTTCCACAATGCGGACCATTTGAGAATCTAAAAATCAGAAAAAGCTATTTGTAATGAATTAAGTAGAATTTTAGTGGAAGAAGGCTTTCGTAAAGTACATATTGGTGCAAAAACAGTAATGTTCAGAAAACTGAATTCCACAGAGAGCAGTAAAAGCTTGATCAATCTGAATATTTTATTTATCTTGATTTTAACATAAGAGTCAGAATTTGCATTCAGTGCAACAATTGGGACACAATCCACAAACTTGAGATTTTCTAAGTTAGAAAAAATAACATGTTCTTTGTTTAATACTAGCAGTAAAAACCATGTTCCCTGGGATTAGTTAAGCTTTGGTCCCGTCTTTTCTTGTCTGCCACACAGTTTGATTGAAGCACTTCTGGCTTTATGTTTGTGTCCTCTTTTGCAGCTGTGATTTCATGCCTGCTGTTAATGTCTTTGCTGTGGTGTTCAGCAATATTGACGTGAAATCAGTCCCAACAGGACAGGCAAAATGAACTCCAAAAATAAAGAGTGCAGAGCTTGAGAGCTGCTGCCCTCTAGAGGTAGTCCATCTCCAGTGCATGGCTCAAAGCTTCCAGGTCGGCACGGCAGGACACCCTCCAGAACGGCATGTTCTTCTGATTACAGAAACAAAAGGCAAAACAGATTTGGTGTTAATGTGTAGCACTTAAACTTCTAGTAGATGTCTCTTAGTAGCTGATAGGTTACTTCCACAGATACAGAGCAGCTGTTAAATATATGCAGAGGTTTTGTAAAAAAAAACATGATTTCCAAACAGCAATTTTCTAACATTTCAAAAACTTTAAAAAGGGGGATTTTCAAAGGTTCCCAGATTTTATGAGAACCATTTTACAGCAGTGAGTCGAATAACAACAGCATGGATAATATATACCTTCTTGGCGACGGTCTCCTCCTCAGCTCCATCTCCTATGACAACATAGACCGCTCTGCGACCAAACCTCTGAGACACGCGCTCAAAACAGCTTTCTTTTCCTTTGAAAAGGAAACATGAAATATGCATTTCAGAAAACAAAACTAAATCTTAAGGTAAAAAAAAAAAATAAATAAAAAAACATATTCTGACGGCATTACATTTATGTAACAATGACTTACACTGCAAAAACTGATGTAAAAATATGGACAAATTTCTTAAAATAAGTGTTATTTCCCTAATTTGAGCAGGTAAATAAATTGATCAGTGAGTATTTTTACCCTCAAACATAAGAGTTTGATATGTACTTAAAATAAGAAAATTTAGTTGTTTTTTATATAAATTGGAAGCAAATTTTTTTTTTTAAATTATAGAACTTTTAATACCTTAAAATGGTATAACTTACCTCCTCAAAATAAGGGAAACTTTTATCAAGACATTTTGATTTACTTAAATTTACATCTTTGCAGTGTAAGGCAGTCTCTTTTACTGCTAGACCCTCTTCTTCTATGTATATATATAAAAAAAACAGACTTCAATTGATAATTTTTGTCTTCAATACCACGTCTCACAATTTAACACCTATTTACTCTCACTTTTTGTTGGTTCTTATATCCAAATGTTGCTTCTATCATGTACTATTTGTTCTATACACTCAATGATAACATGCAGATATCCATATAATTTTAGTGTGTTATTGTGTTGTGTTATTTTAATATATTATCTGTCTTTTTGACATTGAAGCATAGACACTCTCTGAAGCCATCCAGGCCCCCTCTTAAGCCGGGGATAAACTGTACGATTGTTTGCGTTTTTTTTCTTTTCATGACCACCTCCCATTCAGGAATAGCCATCAGGAGAAAAATCAAACATGTTTCAAATTCAGTCGGCCATCGTAAGGTGGTCTTTGGCAAATCACGCAGTGCCCATGCAAAAACAAGGATTCTTCTTCTTCTTCCTCACAGACAAAAAGCATGGGGGGTGCAAGTAAACTGGAGTTCTTTTATAAAATTGACAGACCATGGTAGCCACATTTGCTCAGCCATGTCTTTGTCCAAATACGTCGTTGCCTTTTCTTTTTAGAGCTTTCAGCACACAAAATTGCACAAATTGCCAAGGCAGCGAGTTTCACTCGTGAGCTTTTTTATCAACAGGAGGCATTGATACTTCTGTCTTTTTTTTCTCTTCCACTCATTTGGCTTCTGGATAGATGAGTCTAAGGAGCTCTATCTTACTTTGGAGCTGAGTCCGACGTGATTTTTAGACATACATTACATTACATACATTTTTAGACGTGAGCAGGTAAATCGCATCAGAGCGTCGGGCTACATGGTGTGAGAACATGCATTGTGAGGAGTGAACTTTTAAATCCTGCAGTTTCATTGTGCAGAGTGAGCTGTAGCTGTGTGCAATGATTAAAAATGTTGCACAGTGTATGGCAGGCTTTAGGGAGGGTATGACCACAGGTTGGGGACCACAGCCTTAGGATATCTTCTCTTCTCCAAAACTTTCCTCACCTGTCTTTGTTGCACTGTAAATGTTCTCTATTGGGAAGGCTGAGCCAAGGCCGTACAGTAGCACTTTGGAGAGAGCCGGTATCAGCTGGGTGGTGGTCACCAACACATTAACACAGTTAGGCCTGGAAACAGGTACCAAATATAAAAACAAAAAAAGGGTGCCATTTAGTATTTATGAAAACAATTATGCCCTACATTTGATTAAGTAAGGTTTGTAAAAAATAAAAATATTAATAATAATAAAAAAACATTCAAAACAAACTAGCTCACAAATGAGATAAGTTGATTTTTCCATTGATATAGGTAATGTTGAAGAAGCATAAACTGACCTGGAATTTATGAGAGCCAGAGCTTTCAGTGCTTGAGTCAGCCACAAGTCAGTCAGGACTTCCATCTCCCTCCTCAGCTGTAACCATTCCTCTCGCTTCGGACTGCCCAGCAGACCTATAATTATGTTCAGCATTGCTTTAAACTCTCTGTTTATCTATATAATATAACAGTTCAAAAGGTTTGATTGCAAGAAATACCATATAGAGACCCAATTTGATGAACTACGACTAAAAAGTATTATACACTGATGCCTAAAAAGTTACTATCACCTTACTTTCAGGCACCTCTTTCTCTTTATTTCCAATACAAAAAGTTTTAAAGAGATTTACAAACAAGGGTTGGAGAAGAAAAGTACTTCTAGTTCTCTGGATTACATTTGTGTTTGAAAAAGGCAAAAAAGTTCAACTGAGTTAAGTAGATATAAAGCAAAATATCATATTTCTTTTTACAGCAGTGAAAATAATTATCATATGGATTTAATTTAGCTTCATCTACTGTAGTACTTTTATGATGTGGAGCTGTTCCGGTGCTTATACTTCTTCTCTTCTTCAATGACCTAATAGTTTGGTTATAAATTTTCAATTAAAACAAAAATGATTTATCCTAACTGTATCTTATTTATTTTATCGGGTTCTTCTAGATATTACTATTGCCTAAATGTGCTCTAACACCTGATTATATATTTTATCGTAGTTCATTTAACTAATATTCCTTTTATTCAGCATTATTGGTTTAGCAAATGTATACATAATCTTAGTGTGTCAGTTGCTCTTTCCAAATTAGAAAAAAGGATACACTATGGTTATAGAATCTTTTTGGAAGCAGGATGAAGGTCAGGATAGAGAGAGAGAGAGAGCCAGAAGGAGAAACAACCAAAAGTTTGGTTTTCATTTCTTTTTTTCTCCCTACTTAAAATGCAATTTGACTGAATGCATTGTCTCTAAAAAATAATTCTTGCAAATAGAGGAAATTTGTGTTTATTTTTCCATTTTCTAGTTTATTAGAATACTTATTGGATCTTATTCCTTATTCCAGACCTTTCTGAGAACCTTTCTTTATACTTTAAAGTGTTTTAAACGTTCTCCTTTTGTAAGACAATCATAGAGAAATTAACTGTTTTCAAACTAATTAAAATACAAAAAAAAAAATTTCACACTTCCCACCAAAGTTTTGGACAAAAGTGTAACAGACCTCCAACATTGTTTTTGTAAGTGTTGTAGATCTCCTTGACTCTGCGATATCGGAAAGCCAGTTTCCTCATCCAGTCCACCCCTCCATGGACCCCTGACCCAAGGCATAAAGATCCTGCTCCCGCTGGGCTCTGAAAGCCATCGGACCCAAAGTTGTAGGTGCTGCAGGTTTTAGACAACAGTAACCATCAGATAAGCAAGAAGCGAAAGGCATTTCATTCCATACTGATTTCACTGTTACACTTTCAGTTTGTTAAGGTGAGACTCTTTAAAATTGGCCACAATACAACCTCTGTCTGCTGAATGTGATAAAAAAAGAAACATGGAGCATTCATTAAAATTTAGGGAAGTAACATAAAAGCAACTGAAAAACTGTCTGAGCCAAGAGGAAACCATCAAAACTGAAATTAAACCGGAGATTACTATGCCAGGAAAAATATAACATGCACTGAGTATTTCAACATTATGCATAAAAAAAATCATTAAAAGCAATCTCTTTTGTAAAGTATGCAATTTAAATTACTTTAAAAAGTATCCAAAAGTGCTTACACATGATTATGTCTAAAAAATGATTTTAGTTGAAGACATGGAAATAACAAGGGGAGTAAGATACATTTCAATGAAGTGCTAAGGAAGGAAAATAAATAAATAAAACTAATGTACAATCTTGCTTGCTTGAGAACACACAGTTCCACACTAATGTTCCTAAATCTTGCTTCATCTACTCGCTGTTTTTTTTCTTTTTTCCTGGTGCTTTAAAACTTAGAGGGCAAGTCTGGTTCACAAGCTGCAAAGGAACTGGCAGTGTTCCAGATGGAAGCCCCACAGAAACACAAAAGAAATTTCACCTCAGGTCCTGTCCATTGTCATCTGATGCCACGTCATCAATATGAACCTGGTCACATTCCTGGGAAATGAGAAAGAAAGCCCACATGTCACAAGCCCCACTTCAGAGTTTAAAGCAGATATTATTTTAGTAGACTGCTTATGTGGTTACATAGATAGATACGTTAACTTTAATGGATAATGTTATTGTTACTTTAGCAGGGACCAATTATCTGACTAATTTGAATGTAGGTAATAAAAGCAGTACATTGTTTTCCCATTTAAGCCAAACCTCCTTTACCAACTCAGAGAAAATAAAACTTTCCGATCATTAGCTAACATCAGATGTATTTTATGAAACCAAAGCGGCAAAAAAACTGAACCACCCCAACATATATAACAAAGGCATATGAGAGCAAACCTCGGCAAAAAGTTCCTTTATAATTTATCCAGAGTCCAGTTTCAGGCCTCTAATTCTCCCAACCATCCATCTTTCACGTTCTGAAACTGTGCATATTTGATTTCTTCCAAGGCTACATAAACACATACAGAGCTCATGCATAGGCCTGAATTGTCATGCAGTGACCCAGGACAGACAGGCTCTCCTATTACATCCAGACAGACACTACCTCATCCTGGTCACATTGTTGCAATCTTTGGTTCCTACTGGCTGGTGGCCATTGCCCACTCAGGTGTTTGCTTTATCAGAGCAGCAAACAGTGACCATTAAATAAAAAAGGACAACTTCAATTCTAAAGATAGACTAACAGACATTAAACCTCAATAATCAGTCAATCAGAGTCAATGAGTCGATGCAATCAACTGGTTTTCCTTAGATAGAAGCCTTTGAATCAATTTGACCGTATAATCTGGTGAACTGTAAAATGCCTTGAGATGACATGTGTTGTAAATTGGTTCTATATAAATAAGCTGAATTGAATTAAATAATGACTGATATCAAAAGCTTATTACTGCTCTTGCACACTCTGTTTAAAAGTTGCTGTTTGCATTGCTCATACAAGCTTACTTTCCAAAAGAATATCAGCAATTATTCCACTATGTCAGACTCCACCATTAAGTGAAAATGGGGACTAACACGTAGGAGGACCATACGTAAATGTATCACCAGAATGGTTGAAAATAAGGAGGACTACTTATTTTGATGATCCACCTGCAAAAAAAAAAAATCCTCCAATATACCTTTAAGATTTTCCTTTGTTTTTAAGGTCCATAAGGATGTTTATTTTATTATAGATTTTTTTTTAAGGAACTGCTCCAGAAACATATCGACATTGTACAAAGATGATTCATTAGAAGCTGGCAGTATACAAAAAAATGTATATCATTATAATCATTAGTGATTAATTGGTTGTGTTACTTTTCTTTACATTTTATTTCAGTCCTAAAAATTATAAATTCAGAAGTTGCAAACTTTTCTCCAGACTTTGACCTGTAACTGCAGCCAATTGGTTTAGGCAGTGTTAAATTAGGGGGTCGGAATTCAGCCAAACAAACTTCTCAAACAAAAATCTTTGTGCTACTTTGTGCTGTATCCATAAAGTTTAAAATAAAATAATAAAAAAAGGTCATGAAATGACAAATTCTGAATACTTCTGATTACACTGTACCAGAAATTCTGCGTTTTGTCATTATTTCAGTCTCCATTTCCCATAAAATTCAACATTCAGATGTGAAATCTGCAGCACTGTTGACAGAAGCACGAGACTGGATAATTACCCCTACTTGACAGCAGGAGTTGACAAAGTACTACTCAAGATATTTACTCAGCTCAAACTACAAAATAGGGATAAACACTGGGTTTGGAGATGGCTTTGTTGGCTCCTTTCACTCCTCCAGAGCGCCTCTTTGACTAATTTTCCTCTTGGACACTCAGACACACCCCTATAATTATGAGACAAATGGTTCTTGTTCCCTTTGTCAGAACAGGGCAGAGGAATGTGATAAAAAAACAAAAAACAAAACAAAACCCATTTCATTCTGGTTGAATAATTGATTTTAGATGCTGTATCAGCACCTATGTTTTGGTTATACTTTAGGAAGGTGTGCAGTTTTAATTTTGTAGTGCTTATGGAGACAAAAATGTCCTTTAATACTCTTCCTCCTGGGTCAGGAATAGGTGTGGGAAAAAAAATAACTACAGGATTATTGTTATCTGTAAAGTTTTTTTTTTTTTCTAAATTATGAACTCCTCAAACCTTTTTCCAGACTTTGCAAAGTAAGATGTAACATTTCATAAATGCCTAAGTGCAACAGGTTAAGCAACTAACTGAAATAAAACTGGGAGCTCGACCATAGCGTGAATCAAATCTTTATGTGAATAAGCCAGACTTCTGAATCTGGATGCTCTGTAAATGCTACTGAAAGGGCTCAGATGTGAAAAAAAAATCTTTTAGCCTGCTGTCATCTGATCCCAATTTGTTTAAATTTAAAAACTCACCTCCAGGTCATTGAAAAAGAGTCTTGAGTCGGCAAGATTGAAGATCATTTCTTCCATCCACAAACCCAGAGACACCGCCTTTGATGAGTCCTGGTGAACAGACAGAAGGAGGAAAATTAATACTCCTGATATATTATCCTTCAATAAAGCAAAGTAAAATCTCATTTGGGATGACAAAGATGTCCTCCTAAAATGAATTGTAACTGTTTATGTCATATGCCTAGGCTTTTTATGTCAATTAAATGGAATTTCTTTTTATTTATGCATGTATATCTTATGATTTGCTAATTAACAATTTTATTAGATGATACAAACTATTAATGTTTCTAGATTTTTATCACCAAGGTGCTGGGAAAAAAAACTTAAAAAAATTATTTAGTGTAAGTTATGTAAATAAGTGTTTGCTTAAACTGAATTAGTAGACAGCATTAGTCCTGCCATCGTGTTAGTGCAGCTGCCTGCTTGTCTTCATTAACTTCCTGCTCATCAACTACACTGACAAACAGGTTTTAGGGGAAAACAAGTGTGAATACCTCGATGTCAGTCATACTGCTTGCCAAACTTTTAAATTACTGTCAATTTTCTGCCCGGGTTTTCTCCAACAGACAAGTTTTTTTTTTTCTGTCTCATCTCTGCTGGCACTCTTCCTAAATTCAATGAAGCATTTCAGTCGATCAAGTTAATGTCAGACTCAAAGTAGAAAAATAAATGCTTAAAAAATAATCAGTTTGTTCTTTCTTTGATTATATTCAAACAAATAAAGAAAATGTTTCATACACATGCATTCTTACGGAGCAGCAGCTACGGTATGGAATATTCTTTACGTAATTGCAAAAAAACGTAAACGTGAGCATGTGCTTAAGGGTATAGTCTTGCCCATAGTCATGCACGTATGGTATAAGTTTAATGTAATGATAAAGGTTAACTGTAAAATTACAGTCCCGTATAACGTCTATAAACATTTATATATATTCTCTACAAAATATATGTAGAACATTGCAAGATTGAACTCTTATCTGATCACTGCAATAAACTAAATCAACCTCACAGAAGATATGACTGAACAAAGTGGATTTACAAACAGAAAAACTGAGCATTTCTAAAGAAAAAAATTTACAAAACATTCACAGAAAGCTGAGGAAATCCTGGAGTTTTGGAAAACAAGTGAGTAATTCAATTGACTACCATGACCTTTATGCCTCTTAACTGTAAAATAGTGCAGAAAAAAAGCATTAAGACCTTTTTCTCAAGTTTAAAGGTATCCCACTGCACATCAGTCCAAAAGCACCACATCAATAGTGAAGTTTGCCCGTGTTACTAACATGATGGGGGGCTATTTTTTAAGCATAACAGTACAGGTGGGACTTTATGTATGTATAAATTACCCAATGTGTACTGAGTGAGAAAATAAAAATGGAGCAAATTTACATTTAGTGAAAACAGATAGATTCAACACTCCTCTTATTACCGGTATGAAAAAGAAAAACAAATAGATGCATTGCTTTAAATCACTAAGAGTAAATAAAGATATGAGTTCTCTTTATCATACTGTAAAACTGCTTCAAAAATGTTTAGTCTACCCTGATTCCCCTTTATCAACTTCGATTGCTTTTCCCGAGTGACAAACATAAAACAAACGGTTGAGGCATGAAACCAATTTCAGTTATGAAATTTATGAACCAACAATTAATCCCCACTAACTCATAATGCAGCACCTGTCAGCGTGGACGGGCTGTAATTATAGACTTGAAAAGAAGGTGTGTGAAGTTATGTGTGCCACATTGTTTTACTGTCTGCCTTGGCAGCAGGACAGGTCTGGAGGAAGCAGTGTCAGCCAAAGGTGAGCATCTCATTAATGCCTTTTAGAGTGACAAGCTGGGGCTTTTTCCTGGCTGACAGCTACAAGCATCATGCAGGGTAAAAGGTGACAAAAACAGGGCAAGTACAACATATAAGCCTTAGAAAATGGATACTTTGAGAATGAAAGGGTGAAAAGTTCAAAAGGACGAAGAAGTACTGGGAGAACAAGGAGAAGATCTCATAATTTTTTTCTTTACTTTTAATTTAAAACAAATCCTCATATTTGGCCTAAATAATAATAATAAAAAAAGGGTTTTGGAAGAAGTTTAGGCAAATTTATCACATCCAAAACCCTTTAGTTAGAAACAACTTCAATTTGACAAAAAGTCTTGATAATACATAATAAAAGGTTGAGAATTAAATATTGATCCTGTAATCTTTTCATATTTCAGACAGGGGCAGGTACCACACAGTATCTATACAAAAAGAACGGTGGATAGAAAAAAAAAACCTCTTTTCACTTTAACTGTAATGCAAGCGGTTTACTGAGATAAAAGACAGCCGGGGGAATAGAACTCACATACTGGAGGACAGGATGGGGTGCAGCATGATTAATGAGATAATAGATGACATGATACAAGAGGTTCTCTGGTAACTTCTGGCTCAACAGAGACTGTTGAAAACATGCCTCTTTCAGCCTGGCCCCCCATGATTTCCAAAGAATAGGTTCCAGTTTTTCTTTGAAAACCAACCATTTGTTAGTAATAACATTTCCCTCTGATCCATTTTCTTGGACTCATTAATAAGCAGCAAATCAGAATTTGGATGAACTGAGATAAATCCATTCGACATGATATTTCTCTAGGATTAAAACACATTTGGTGTAAATTAGGGGCTTACAAGGTTTTAAGAACCTTTAAGTGCTGGGCTGTTTTCTGTGCTGTCGCTCATTTAATTCCTTCACCGCATGTCTGAGTTTTGATGTCAGATTCTGTCCAACTGAGCTCCCCTGGATCCAGCAGTGGGGTGTTTGTGCGGTGGGAGGAATTTTTGGCTCATGAGTCACATTTCAACACATCCGCATAGCCCTAGTCGATCTTTGCCTCTTCCTCGCTCTTACTCTACAGACCCTTGCCGGGGCAGAGAAGAAAAGAAAAAGAAACATCGGCACATAAGGGCTGCCAGGGAGCTGAAATGATCTGCATTGCTGCTCTCAAACTCCCATCAGCCTTGTGTCAACCCGCCGGGGGACCGTGAGAATTCAAAATACTGCACCTCGGCCAAAAACAAGAAACACACCACTGTCCACCCCTTGTCAGCTGCCGGTCTCTTATGTAAAGGTCCTGCTGGCTGTCAATCACGCCATGGGTTGTCAGGGTAGCCAAACAACCCCGCTGCATTATGAAAATAAACAAGAGGGCAGAAGGCATAACAAGGGCAGCGTGTGAAAATGTTCAGATATGAGAACTAAAGGTTATGGACTTCAGCTGTTGCTCAAATAAGCAGGTGACCACAGAGGCGAAGGAAATATTTCACAAAAGTAGGATTCTGTGTTTACTGTGAAAATCCAGAGCAAACTGTCTGTCTGCTATAATCACCTACTGGGATTTGTCAGAGAGAAAGACTCTTACAGCAAATGACAAAGTAAACGGTCAGATATTTGTACCTTGCCAAACCGTGAGGAGAAAGTTCCCGTGAGGAGTGAATGGAAAATGATGATGGTTTCATCCAGATCCCAGATAAACACACGCTGCAATGAAATAACAGATACAGTATGTGAGCTGTATGGCAGTTTGTTTTGTGCGTCTGATTGAAAAGGGGTAAAGATAAACATTTAGAGAAATATAAATCATTTCCAACACTGTATAAGATGATGTTTACCTCTATATCAGAGTCAAGAGGAGGAGCAGGGTCAATAGCTCTTTTTCTTCCTCTCAACTTGCTATCAGATCCTCTTCTTCCTGGGATTCCCTCTTCTTTACCTGGTGTTGGTGGACTGGGTGGCGGGTGGTAATCTGCTAAAAAAAATTTAAAACTGCATCAATCTCCAACACACATTTTGCATTTAATCAATGTTAAATGCTGGACATATTACTTATTACTGGAAAATAAATTATTATAAAAGAACCAGTCCAAGTATCCAACCTTTTAAAATGGGACACCTGTATTACTGAGATGCATCAGCACCTATATAAGTGACCTCTTTCAAACAATACCTAATTTTCAAAGTAACTAGTTACTGGGCAAAAGAGCTTTGTAGTAATTTTTCATCATCTATAATGTATATGAAATTGAATGACATTTCTCTTAGAGTAGCTATAAATGTGAATAATCTGTGTTTTCAAATAAAAATAGCTAAATAATAAAATAAACCATAAAACACTGATCAACACTATTTTAATGCATTTTGTTGGGCAAGTGGATCAAGACACCTATGAATTGTAATATGTTTGTGTCGATATCATGTTGGTTTTCAGTATTCAGAATAAAAAAACAAAACAACTAGATTAGAGCTTAATATTTATACACCATCAGGCTTCAACTGGCTTTAAAATAATAATAGCACTAAAGAAATAAATGTATTTCAGTATAACGAAAAACACAAAAAACAGTGTTGGAACATTTACAAGCCTCACAACATTCCAGACAACAGCCAGGTAGATTGTACTGCAAGTGTTTACATGTTTGAAATAGAATCTGAAAAATGAAAACCCTTGCATAGTATTCCCTTTTATTTGCTTTTAGTACATGTTACAAAGTTCAAGCAACAAAGATCGAAGATGTTGTTGTAATGTGAAAAATGAAATAAAAAAGGGCAATATTTTCACTAGTTACTGTACATCAAAAATACTTTATAATGAAGCCACGATGCTGCACAAAAGCAAAGCCATTTCTACACTTAATATATTTTATGCGTATGTTCCACATCCGTTTTGGCTCTTGAAAATGGCTGCTAGCATATTTTATAGTCTTTTTTTAAAGTTTGAGATCACAATTTTAATGAAATTTTAATTTGTCAAAGCAAACAAGAAAAAGCAAAGACAAAGACAATGCTCTTTTTACCTGTGTGTGATTCTGGGCTGTGGTTGGGCATCATAACTGGGTGGTCTGAGTGCTGATAGGCTAATGGAGCTGTGATTGCTGCAGGCGGGATGCTGCTACTGGTTATGTACGGACTGTTGTAGTGATGGGAATTATAATAGGGAGAGTACTGACTCTGGCTGTAGCTGGAATATGAAGAAAATTCCTAAGAACAGAGACAAGGATGAAAGGCATAAAAAAGAAACATTAACAGTTATTGTGCTGATAATTATTATTCACCATTTTCACAATATATTGTCTACAACAGATGAATGTCTTTGATAATAAACCATATTTGGGATAATTACTCACTTGTTGGGTTGGGTTGAATGGGGTTGAACTTGAGATTGCATGTGTTCCTTGGAAAATTCCAGATGAAATACCAGTGCCTAAGAAAAAAGATCAGGAAAATTAAAAAAAGCTGATCTGAAGACAAAATTATTAATAAGGGATGCACTGGTAGAAAGTTTGACTTTCTATCTGATATGGAATAATTTGGCTTTCATGACACATTCATGCAGTTAATCTGCTCGGCAAAGCAGCATGAAGGAGAAAGTAGTTTGGCTCTGCTTCCTTTTTTACAGTGACAGTATAGAGCTGCAGGAACTTAGGGATTTATGACTGACATGGCAGTACAGGTAGGAAGGTCTATGTCCCCTGCTCTGCTTTCTGCTGAGGGAATCTTCATAAAAGATCAAGCTAAGACAGGAATGTTTCCCTCCAAGCAATCTCCCCTCTCTAGTAACATCCTGTTGAGTCTATCTATTCTTTTTGTCAGGTAATGACATTTTCTTGTAGTCCTATCATCTCCAGCCAACACCCAGTACAACATATTCAACTTTTATTTTACAGTTTTTGTTTGAAAAAATAGCATTTTTTCAAATTCCTAAATCAAAGTCATTTTGAATTGATTCTGAACACTGAGTTACAATTTGAAGCAAATTAGCAAGTGAACACAAAAATAAATAAAAAGAACAAGCAGTGTTCTGGACACACAGGATGCAAAAAACATCCTTTTAGATTCAAAACTGGTTTTTCCTTTCTTTTTTCAGTTTTATTGAACACTCAGCAGTCTGATGACGATGGTGAAGAAGCAGTTTTGGAATCTACTGGACCTGCATTGGATGCTTCTAAGCCTCTTCGCAGAGAGCAGCAGCATGTACTTAATACCTTGTTCAGCCTGATGAATTACCTTATAAGTGCAGTGTTGCAATCTGTGTAAGGAAAGCCAAGATCGCTTTGATTGCCTTCAGGTTATCTGCCTCATTGGATCTAATGTCTCTCAACTTCCTCTTGACAATAAGCCATAGATGCTCTACGTATAAGGTTCAGGTCAGGGGAGTTTCCTACCAATGAAGAACAGGATCACCATGTTCACTAAACCAGTTTTAAACACCTTTGGCAGTGTTGACAGTTGCCAAATCGTACTGGAACATAAATTAAAATAAACAGCTTCTCCATTCAGTTTGTCAGTAGAGATAAGTATTTACTGATCTAGAAATTACTATTGGATGGCTGTAGAGGAGCAACACCAGCAGAAGGAATGGCACTTCAAACATCACCCTATGGAACCTTGTTTATCAAATGCAATGCAGAGTTTGCAGAATAATCAACTTGGTGTGTTTGGCTTAGATGTGCTCATTATTAAACCTGTAAAATTATCAGAGAAAGATGCATACATTTCTAATCATGATTTAACAAACCTGAAATAGATTGTGTGTGCTGTTTTTACATCTGCTTCATTTATGTTTGGAAGTCCAGTGCAAATTTGCAAAAATATATGTGGTTATTGTGGCAAGAAGGAGGAAAAAAGGAAGAAAAGACGCCTGTGTGTTACAGATTAAAGCAGCAGGACTGTAAACAATCTTTATGCAATAAAATATGGATAAAAAACAAAATGACTAAACCTAAATATTGTGGTCTCTTTAAAACCAAACAAAACTAAACATTAAAAACATAAGAACCATCAGACAACAAGAAATCATCAAGGAGGCTATAAAGGGACAGTGGGAAAAAAGGCCCCTTATGCAGGCCTGAAAGTGCTTATTTCTATCCTGTAGGCAAGATTCTCCTTTGTATACAAAGAAGAGCTATGTTGTATTCAGTCATTATAGACCTATTCATGTTTGTATCTGATAAATTGAAGTTTTAAAGGAGTAGGTGTATGACAGTGGCTTCTACCCAGACTAATGTCTGTTGGTTTTTTGACTCTTTTCTACATTATCTATTTAATATAATCCCTTTGATTCAAGCTTTTAGTATTTTTATAACTCCAAATGTTTTTACTGATTTGTAGTACTTTGTGATACAGTGAAGTGCAATATATATAATAATCATTGCTATGATTCTTATTTATATTTCATTATTTCTTATCAATATCATAATTACCTAAAATTCTTAGGTGTCAAACTTCTTTTTTTCGAATGCAAAATCCTCATCTAAATATACAGTCTGCACCACTTTTGCACCTGTAATCAAATGCACATGATGTCTACGTGGATTCAAAGTAGATCAATCACCACATGCCAAATCACTCCAGTTGCATTTTTTTGTTATCATAAAGAAATTTAGTGAGGTTTATTTGAGATCTTAGCAGATCAGGCCCTATGGGTCAGAATATAACGTATTATTTGAGTAGAGGCAGGAATTAACGTTGCATTTCTGTTTTAAATAAAAGTGATTATATTAAAGGAGAAGTTCGGTTTTTTACACTTTAAGCCCATTTTCTGTAGTGTCCAGGATGAAATCGAATGATCGACACCAAAATTTTGACAATCGGTCCTGTCTCTGCTTTTTGGCTCATTTAGAATCCACCCCTGGCTGCTTTAGAATGGCTTGCATAGAGCATGTCCGATAATGTCCTTAAAACAACCTTAAACGTTCTTTTTTTTAAATATGCTACTCACCGGGTCGTCAGCGCTGTTCAATGACGTTCCAAAAAAAGTTTCGTGAAGAAAAAACGTTCCTGTAGTGTTTTATTTAGCATTTTGTAAATCCCATTGAGTTCTGTAGGAATAGTCAATATTCCCCTGCCACCGGAAACGGAAATGGGGCCTGTTTACACAGTTGTAGTCTTTTCGCTTCACTCTGTATACTCCGACGTCGAGAATCAAGAATCCACCTTTCGTATTCCATTTTCAGAGTTTTTTAAAGTGTTTAACAGAGACGTTAGCACCTCGACGTCGGAGTACACAGAGTGAAGCGAAAAGACTACAACTGTGTAAACAGGCCCCATTTCCGTTTCCGGTGGCAGGGGAATATTGACTATTCCAACAGAACTCAATGGGATTTACAAAATGCTAAATAAAACACTACAGGAACGTTTTTTCTTTACGAAACTTTTTTTGGAACGTCATTGAACAGCGCTGACGACGCGGTGAGTAGCATATTTTAAAAAAAGAACGTTTAAGGTTGTTTTAAGGACATTATCGGACATGCTCTATGCTAGCCATTCTAAAGCAGCCAGGGGGTGATTCTAAATGAGCCAAATAGCAGAGACAGGACCAATTGTCAAACTTTTGGTGTCGATCATTCGATTTCATCCTGGACACTACAGAAAATGGGCTTAAAGTGTAAAAAACCGAACTTCTCCTTTAAGCTTTATTTCTATGCTTTAACGATATGTTTGAGACTTTTGTTTAAATGCAGTAATATTGTTAAACTGTGGTACTTTTATAGTGATCATACCGTAAAACATCTTTTAAGCTCATGCCTAAGTCAATTCTCTACATCTCTCCCTTTACCCCAATTTCATTCCAAAGCCAGAGAGATGACAAAAGGGACATTATGACTCAGATGCAGAAACTTTCCCAGACATCACAGCTGACAAGAAAAATAGAGTAGGTCTCTCCAGTAAACACAGAGGAGCCTGCATTTGGTTTTAGTTGTGTACACAGTATACAATAAGCTTTTGGACGACTTGTGTGAGTGTGTGTGTGTATGCCAAGTATCTTTTTTGTAGCTATGCATTGTGTGCAGTGTAATGGATGATGAAAACACTCTAAATACATCAACTATTTGAATGTTGTGGAAATCTATTGCCCTTTGAAGTTTACAGTTAATGAATTATACATATGAACATTCAAACAAATTTGTTTAGGAACACTGTCACTCAAAGTCTAATTGCAATGTTAAAAAGTCTCTCTTGGTCCAACTGCGGTGCTCTAACAAAGCCGTGCCGTTTGTCAAAGGGTTCCATCAAAAGCCTGTTAACACAAACATTTACATTCCCCTGTAATGTCTCACATCTGAATATTCCCTAAAAGAGAAAGTATATCAGTATGAAAATCATGGATTGTCTTCAAAGGGATAAAAAAATAGCTGTCCAAGAGTTAGTGTATGTCTTAAAATGATTAAATGTGGCATTCAAATTAAATGGCAAATAGTTTTCAACTTAACTTGACAGAACTGGCATTCAAGACTGAAAATCAGAAAAAAAAGCAGCTTCATAAATTACTTCTAATCAAAATGTTACTGATTGACTTAAATGTGCAAGAAAGTATAACAGCACGCTTTTTACTGTGACATTAGCTGAATGTCCCTTTAATTCACACCAAGAGTGGGGCTAGACACTCTCATCATCAGGGACTTAGCCCACTAAATATTTCATTTTGGGGTACCTGATTTGGTACCCCAAAAAAGTAAGAAATTCCTGCCACTAATTTGCTAATATTTATTGCACATAAAAGTAATTTTCATGGTCTGGAGAATAGAGCAGGGGATTGATAGACGGATCGGTGCGGCCACTGCTATAATGCAGACACTGCACAGTCTGTTGTGGTAGAAAGAAAGCTGAGCGAAAAGGCAAAGCTGAGATTTTGCTGGTTGGTCTACGTTCCTACCCTCACCTATATGAAATCTCCTCCACATTGAGAGGAGTCTACTGAGGTAGACTAGACATGTTCCCCTCGGACGACACCCTCAAGAAGTGTTCCAGGCACGTCCATCAGCCTTTGAAAGAATTGCACCTAATTGATTCACAGTTACTGATCAAAATGCAGAGTCATTGAAGCTTAATTAATTTTGAAGTGTACTGTATATTGAGAGCATCCAAATGGCTTTTTTAGTCAAGCTTCTAAAAACAAGCCAGAGGCAGCAGGTCTTGTCTTTACCAATTATTACCAGCTTCTTGTTGCATCTTTGTCTCCTTATTCTGGCCCGTTTCCCCATCTCTGCTGTCTCTCCCTGCTTGTGCTGCATTCATACATAAACCAGAGCATTTTACCATTATCCAGTGTTATATGACATATGATAACGTAAAACTGCCTCTAAAATTGCTCTCCTGCCTTTTGTAAAAGGACCCGATGTCCATGGCTGGAAAATAACAAAAAATCTTTTCACATATGTTTCTAAATTAAGCAGGACTGTATTAATTCTAAAAGGTTTAACACTAGGATATACACTCATCATGTATATATATATACACTTGACCACAGCCAAACAGTCAGAGTAGTAAACCATCAGTTACCATTTTTATTCGTTGTGTGGTTTACCAATTAAATTGGTTAATCAAACCAGTGGCTCAGTCGATTTCTGTCAAATATATTGATTAATCTAACCAAAATTGGTTTATCCTACTAGATTAATTGTTTTTCTAACCAACCCATTCTTAAAGTGAACCATCTTGAATGCGTGTGTTGCAGCATCTCGTTTTCAGAGAGTGGCCCAGCTCTGAATCCAAGGAACCTTTGATCATTTGGAAACATAGTCCCAGCAGACAGCCAATGCTGTCATCTGGGTCTCTGAGTGCGAGTTTCATATCTATCATATTAAGCAATCATTATCACTGCAAAATAATTAAATAACAATGTTTTAAAATTTCACATTTGTCATGTCAATCATGTCAAAAATGATCTATTTATGGGTTCTTAAAAAAAAGATTCTTCCTTTTGTTTGATCCATACAGTGGGAACAGCTTGTGAAGCCATTTCAACATTAAGCCAGCTCACCCCTCTGTATAATGCCCCTTAACCTCTCCCCTGTCACACACAAGGTCAATTTCATGCTGGTTTCAAAGCCATAAAGTCGCACTGAGCAACTCATGCTTTGGGCGCCGGGCGACTGAGGAATGTGTATAGCACTGTCTCTCACACTCAATCACAGACGCACACTGACAAGCAGACAGCTACACACCCTCCCAGGACTGAAACATCTTTATCCAAGTACCTTAATCAGAAAGCACGTCTGTCCAGCGTCTGTTATACTCATAAATATAGGGTTTTTTTCTCCCTTCTTCTCCCTGCTTTCCTTCTTTGCTTCTGTGTGCACATCATTTTTTATTCCCCCTTTCTTGAAAAAAACAGAAACGAGCGCTAACATGCTGTGTTGTTGGTCTGAGTGGAGAAAGGGGGCCTGACCCCTAGAAAAAAGGAGGGGTGGGGAGACTTTTGACGCCAGAATCCCAGACCGCAGCTAATCAAGAACAGGTGTGGGGGCGAGGAAAGAAGAAGAGAGGAGAAAAGATACAAGAAGGGCTACAGCAGCTTTGTCTCTGTAGCCAAATCAGATATGATTTAGAAAGGGTCAGTCCACGAGTTCATCACAGTGTCCTCAACATGCTGTGTTTCAAACTGACCATGCGTGTGCGAGTAGCTGTAGAGGCTTTGACTGGGAGGGGTGCCGCTGAAGTTTGAGTAGCCCAGCAGTCCAGTCTGTCCTGGAGAGTGACTCAGACCATCCTCTGTTTTTATGTCTAAAATAAGAACAATAAAACTTGTATTATATATTCATCTTAAAGCTAATTAGTATCAAGGAATTTAAAATAACACTAAAAGCCAGGTACCAATAACAAACATTTCACAATGAGGAAAGAATCAGGTAGGCCTAATTGTTGATGGAAGCTCATAACATGATAAGTTATCTGTATGTGAAACATCTAGAAAAAAAACATTAGCTATGGTTCTTGGTAATATAATCGTAAAAATCTGATTTACTTTTTTTTTCTTTGAATCAGAAAATAGGCAAACTAATGATTTTAATGAATGAGGAGCATAAGAAAATCAAAAGATATTTAGCCTTAAAATTTCTGTGTGTAAACTTATCCAGCAACCAAATGCAACCAAACACGTAATATGATGGCTTTTTTACATTTAAATAAACACAAGTTTTATTCTTTTAACTTTATATTTTTGACAGTTCAGTGGTCACAATACCATTATATCAAAACACTTATCTGTTTGATGAGCAGAATAGAGACCAATAACAGTTTAAAGAGTCGATATAAAGTTTAATTATATATTATTAGTCTGTAAAGGCATTTGGTTCCGTATACCGAGCCTGCTTATGGTAGAGATTTCCCTATATTAGATGTTTCCATATGATTGGCAAATTTTAACAGGTTGTTGTAATCCGCCTTAAATTACCAGAATGCTAACATAATGTCTGATTACAGTCAGATATGTAGGATAAAGGAATTCATCAAATTTATTGAATGCTAAAATATGTTAAAAAAATAAATAAATAAATAAAACAACAAGCTGTGACAGTATTAACCAGCCCAGGACTGACTGGCCTCTTAAAACTACTTAAAACTACTATATATATATATATA